TCTCCATGTATTTGTGCTAGGAAAGCGGCTCTCGTTGACGCACTTTTTTTCGACTGATTCAATTATTTATTTTTTGTGGTTTGACTTTGAAACTGGGGATTATTCGAGATGTATTATTCATCAGTGAAAGAATTTCTCTTTATTCTCAGTACTTTTGCAAAAATAAAAAAAAAATTAACGCATCACTATGGAAATTTATAAATTGCTGAATAATGCTGAGACTTAAAAATGGTATATTTTACGTCAATCTTGTCTAATTCAGGCTTTCTCAGAATTTTACAAAGAAAAATATAAGAAATTAGAACAAATGGGCAGTAACTCCTCAATTTCGCTAATGAATTTTCTTCTATTTTACGATCTGTATCGGGGAAATGATATGCTGCGGGGAATGATATGCTTATGCTGAGCGAAATGAATCAGGCTTTTTTTTAGACCGCAATAAACATTAATAATGATAACCTAGTGAAGACAATAATTACTAATAACAATGAATATCCAATCCGTGTCTAACAATGAAAATTAACCATACGGAAGAATTTGTGGAGGAAAATTGATGAAAAAATGGTGAAAAAATGGCGAGTTTAATTTCAGGATAGAAATCCTGAATATTTCCATGTGAATCAATCAAGCCCCGAAAACAATGGCGAAAACCCAAACAGACGAAGACAAGTTCTCCGTGGAAATACACGAAGTCCACAGTTGTAACCCGCGGCAATTGTGATTGCGCTAAACCTAAACAATGGGCCTACCCCCATCAACTACCCAGTACCCAGTTTCAGCCGTCGATCCTGCGGGGGTGGCCATCTCCCAACCACCCCCTCACCCAACTTACCTCTTCCGCTCCAATTCATTCACCCTTCCGGACTAATTGACTTTTTCAATCCCACCTACATGTACATCCACACGTGATCCACGCGATCTACCATTTTTTCCGCCTCTCCATTCTTTTTGTCCCCTTTTTTTGTCTCAACTTTACTCTCGTGGAAACTCGTGGAAGAATCAGGAATTATTGACTCGACTTCGAACTGTTGTTTCAACTGGAATCATTACAAACGGATCAGCTAAAATTCCTCTTTATTAAGACAATAAAAGAGTATTTATTTAAAAAAAGAAATCACTTGTGTCTAGGAATTTTAGAGTGTAACTGAAAATTCTTGATGGGATTTCCCTTTAAAAATTTTTCCCTTGGTATACTTATTTCGAATCCCGGAAAAAATATCCCAGGGAAAAAATATCCAAAACGTGTTGAAACTCGCTCAATTTAATTATTTTTTAATTTAATTATTTTTTTCGTTGTCTATTTTTTCAGGGACTCTAATTTTCCTATGGTCTATCAAATTGGGTGGGTTTTAACACGTTTTGGGTGTGTGGGCTATTTTTTCCGGAGATATTTTTTCCGCCTACCACTTATTTCGAGCGAATTTACGTGGATGGAGGAAATTAATTTAGCAAAAGTATTTTTTCTTCAATTGTCCCATGTTTTTTCCAAATGTATCAGTATCAATTCTCTTGATTATCTCTTATTTGGTGTGGCCGGAAGTCAGACTGGAATGGAATATATAATACAGGAAAAAGAGAGAAAAACAAATGTTTACTCTGACGTAATTTGAATTTGCTGGCATTGTTACGGGGTAGAGTAAAGAGAAAAGGGTTGATGCACAAGTGAAAGAGGAAAGAGGAAGGGGGAATGGGGGGAAGGGGGGCCTGAGGGTTGGGACGCATCGGTGCTACTGTTGGTTGGGATGAGAAAACATTAATCTAGCCATGTTTTGCAATCTCCAGCACCGTGAATGTTCTCCGGGATGTGTATTTTCGTACATAAATTCATGTGGAATTCAATGTATGTGTCACTGTACCTCTGTACCACCTACCACCCCCCCACGCCACCGGGAGTGTATTATGAATGCGATGTTCGTTTACAATGTGACGGTAAACCCATTCCTAACTCACCCATTGTATTCATCATGTTGATAAGAATTTATTGATTTTTAAAACAGGAGAGGAAATTCTGTTGCGCAATATTCACTCGCTTATGTAGCACGCAAAAATACAAATGAAACGGTTCATTTCTTGCACCGATGAAAATCAAGTCCACGTTGAAATCACTCAATTCATGGCTGACTATAATCAAATTATTCACTTGGGATTGGAAAAATTTCATCGATGCGTAATCTAATTTTTCGTATCACCTGTGACTGAAGAATTGAAAATAATTAAATGAATTTTTTTTTTCTTTAAACATTTGTAAGGCGGTGAATAAAAAATAGAAATATCAAGTCCTCATTACCCTTTCATTTCTTGATGTCATTCTTGCAAAAAAATTCTCTTGGCAACCGTGTGTTTGTTATCATAAAAAAACATTACACCCTCCAACCCTCGGCTTGTTTTGATATTTATTCTCATCCAATGTACACGTACAACATGAGAATGGGCGTGGCGGAAGTAGATTAAACGATTCAAAACGGTGGAGGGCCTCAGGGGTGGAATAGAGTTGCGGTAGCGACGCATCGCAAGGGGGTGAATTGTGGGGGTGAGTGAAATGAGAATGAGATTTTGACAAGGGAATTAATAAAGATCCCCATCGGTCGACTACGAAGGCGTTACTGGGCGGCAACACCGTGTCCAATCAATGATTCCATTATCCCCTGAGCACTCCCCCCATGAATTAATAATAATTCCTCCATCTTCCCTAAATTCGTCTAATGAACTTTCCAACATTCCAATTCAATCGACATTCAATCACAATTCTTGTGATCATTATTAAGTTCCAAACTTTCGTCGACGGAGAGAAATATTTAGTAAAAAATTTAGAATAGAAATAAATTTAGAAATATTTAGTAAAAATATTTAGAAAACCTTCAGTTTTCTTACCGATTACGGAATCGACTTGAAATATTTAAGTGACGGTATCGTAATTTTCTAAAGATCATTCCGATAAAAATTATGAAATGCCACGAAAAAATTCCAGGGCTTCAGATAGAAAGTATGTGATACTTCCGTAAAATTTCCTACACTGAGAGAAATATTTAATAAAAATTACGTGTATTTTCCGTAATCCTGGAGCGAAATGTGGTTGTCGGAAATTTTACGGAACTGTCACGTAATTTTTATCTAAAGTCATAGAATTTTTCCGCGGTGTTCCGTAATTTTAATCTGAATTATCGGTGAAAAATAAAGATACCGCCACTTAAATTTTTCGAATCAACTCCGTAATCGGTAAGTGAACTGAAAGTTCCGTAATTTCTACTAAATATTTCTCTCCGTGTACAACCACATTTCACTCCGAAATTACGGAAAGACTCGTAATTTTTATTGAATATTTTTCTTCGTGTCCAGACACATTCCCACATACCAATCATTCTACCGCATTATAACGGCAAAATCGTCAAGGAATAGCAATAACAGATAATATTTAATATCTGAATAAGAGATCTACAGATAATCTCGGAGCACTCAATCTGAAATTAATAATCCCCTCCCCCATTCCCAAAATTTCCCTAATAAACTCCAGTATATTCAGATTAATCGACAATCGATTTCCAATCAAGCAACTCTCTCATTCAACGAGATTTTTATATTTGAGGAGATTGAAGAAAAATCAGTTCCTCAGGGGGTGGAGGTGGATCTCTGTTATTATCTTGATAATATAAAGGCAACGGTGTGGGAGGCAGAGAAGAGGAAAGAGAATAAAAAAATGAATAAAGGAAGAGGGCTGCAGTTTGTGGGAATGCAAACGCGTATATACCACCAGTACAGTGATTTAAAAAATATATGTATATATATATATATGTATGTATGGAGTTATAGGAAAAAGTCAGGGTCCAGGAAGCACAGTGGTGGCGGTGGTCGGGAGGCATCAGACAGAGGCACATAGCCCCAAGCCATGTAATTCATTACTAAAGCAATCTCACCCTGGCTCCCAGCCCTCCCAACTCCCCCACCCCCTTTCACCCCCTCTCTCTCACCATTTCTCATAACCCTCCCCCGCCCCTGACCCATCAGCCCCTCTGCGCCACGTTATAATATAAAAAAATGCCGAATAGAGTAGCGCGCTGACAACAAAACAAACATGAAATACAAAGCCGCCTTCTCATAATTAAAAAGATTGCGTTGTGCCTCTCTTATAACCACCCCCAACCCCCCGACGGTTTCTTTTTTCTTTTCTCTGTTTTATTTTTTTTTTCCTTTTTTTCTGTCTTCCCTTGTCCTGAGTTGGAGGGACATTTCTTTCGGGCTTCTTTCACCACGTTTTTATTGTATTTAAAAGCAGTGGAAGTGGACGTATTTATTTCAATTGCGTTATTTTGTTGTTATCTTTGTTTATTTTTTAGTAAACGACGTTTGGGGAGGGGGTATGCAGTATGTAACAAACTATTGAAACTAGGGTTGTGTTATTCAATGAATTTATCTGGTCGCGGTGCCATGGTGATGGGAAATGTCGATAGTAGCTGATAGGGTGATGATTGGAAGTCTTCTGATTTTGACAGTGAAACTGCAAAGAATACTACAAAGAGTTCTACTACAATTGTCCCCCGATTTGTGCTCTAATTATGTCCATTTTTGACTAAAAAAGAAAGCACACTTGGATGCCACAATCGAATGGCTATAATTCATCAAAGGGAAGAATAAAGAAGATTTCCAAGTTCTCATACCCAATGCAAGTTGAAAGACAATGATTACAATTCGAAGGATAGGCTAGTGTGGTCCTTCTCTCTTCACTTTTTCTTTTTTTTTTTTTTCCATAAATCCCGCGGTTTCTCCGGAGTTGTATCTTTATCTTTGTTTTCCCTCTCCCGTTGTCTTTTTATTTCCACGTGAAAACAGTTTTGCGAAGGGTGTGGACTCGGTGGTAACCGCCCTAAACTCCAACCCTCGGACCAATCCTCATTCCCGCGCAATCTCCGAACAACCCTTGGTTATCTCTAGGGGTTGTAAGGGATGATTCGGTGGTGCATATTCGTTCAGTCAGTCTTCATCTCTCCGAACCGGTACAACTCAACACCAAAATCGGCTGCAAGTGTCGTTTTAAGTATAAATTGTCGTGTGGCATTTGAAAATTCCGAATATATTTCAATGCATACATAAAAACAATTATAATCATATTTATTTCGAGTGCTAGTTTGAATTGTTGGACATGGCTGGGCCTTATCTATCGCCCCTTGGGCCTCAGGCCGATCTGCTCACTGAATATATGTTCGGTCGACGGCGTCAGGTCAGTGTACGTTACTATTTTTATTACAATCTTCGCTATTTTTTTTTTCTCTGCCTATTAATTTATCGTTATCTTCTTCAACAATCCAATTATTTCTTATTATTCTCCATTTTGCATCATCGAAGGAAATGAGAAATTAGGAGTTGTGATGAATTCATTAATGAATTATTTCTCAACACCCAATATCTGGATGCTAATGTCTAATAGTGACCAAGTGAATTTATTTAAATGACAAAACATAATTTTCTGCTATTCATTAAATGCTGGAGATCCTGGGAACTTTAAACGGGAAATTAGGGGTATAAAAACTTGTAATGATTTATGACAAGTCAATAAAAAATAAGACAATGTGTAATTTTTCACAATTTTCGCAATTGATAAGAAAAATAGAAAAAATTTATAGATATTCTTGCCAATTTTCTCTGCCGCAGAGACGCAATAGAACGACGTTCACACCTCAACAACTTCAAGAACTCGAGTCGCTCTTCTTGAAGACGCACTATCCGGACGTGTTCTTACGTGAAGAGGTGGCCCTCCGAATTTCCCTGTCGGAGGCTCGGGTTCAGGTAGAGAGCGTTACCAAAAAATAAAAGATATAACAAATAGATAAAAAAAAAACTCGTGAATAATCGTGAAAACTTCAGGTGTGGTTCCAGAACCGACGTGCAAAGTGGCGTAAACAGGCGCGTCTTCAGCTGCTTCAGGATGCCTGGAGGATGCGTTGTCTAGGTCTTGGCAGTGCAGCACCTCTTCTACTGAGACCACCACCTGGTACCAGTGTAGAACGTTCCGATTCTTCACCTCCACCTCCCCCAAACTCAGGAGGAATTTCACCCCCGCAGTTATCAGGTGGAACTGATAAACTGCCCGACAACCCGAATCACCCCATCTGTAGAGATTATCGACTGTTACCTCCACACGGGTAAGTGTCTTTGCAAAAGCAAACAGAAAAAACAAAAACATAAAAAAAAAATCATCCATTTGCCATCCAAAAGAGATTCTCAAAATTCTTGTCATCGAAATATCGCATATCTCGTTATTGTTCTCTAAAATTCTGTAAACATTTTACACTAACAAGATAAAATTGAAATCTAATATTAGGTTTGATAGATAGTATCTCCATAAAAAATTTCTGTAATAAAAAACTGTGAAATTTTTAATGGAATTGCAAAAATCTCTAACAGTGCAATATTCTTTCGAGTCTTATAATATGGTGCTTTCAGGTACTCAATGACTTGTGAAAAATCGCCAGAACACGGTAAATGCGGTTGTGGCTCACCTCCACGGAGTACATCAACGCCATCAAGTGTAGAAGTGGATTTACCAAATCGTGACAGACCCCAAGAAGCAGAAATGGATCTTACTGTGAAGACTCCACTTGCCACGCGTCACCCGCAAATTCTTCCGCTATTTCATCACATTCCGAGTGAATCCCGCCATGATCTCAGTCCTTTGCCTCGGTCTATGGACGAGCCACTCGATGTAACTCTGAACGGCAGTAGAAATAGCAACTAAATAAAATAAAATCATCTCTCAATGTTCAACGCCTATAGTGGATCTCCAGTGGCAACTGCTCTGACCACTCATTCGAGTAATTGTCCTTCGATGATCATGTAAATAAATCGCGAACAGCCTAATCCTTTTAAAACAATCCATAAATGCAGACAGATGACTAGTTTGTAACTCTGATGAGCGCGTAGTTACATCTAGAAGGTGAGAGACAGGAAACACTTAATCAGTAATGCTGATAATCCATTGTGTTAAAAAAACTAAAGAAAATCCGCTGATGATACTGAGAGAATCCGCGGGATTTAGCAACTCCATCAGAATTTGCGTAACGGTACAATTTTTTAAATATTCGTGTACTGTTATGCAGCAAGACACCGCAAAAAACGCATTATACATTCTCTGTTTTCATTTTTCTGTTCTTCATTCGTACAAATGTGTTACGTAAGTTCGACAATCGGGTTAAGTGGATAATTTGGAGTTATGAAACGATAATGAACATGAATAAAAGAAAATCTTCAACAACATGACTCATATCATTGCTCATTACCTCATCCCAAGTAAGTAGTTAACCGCTGATTCGGATAGGTGTAATATTACAAATAATGCGTCAATATCTTTTCTTGAAAAAATTCTCATTGAATAAATATTGGATAGATTTAAAAAAATGCCCATTAGCGCTCATTGCCACAGTATTTCAAGTATTTCAGTATTTCTGGGCATTAGAAAACTCATAGAGCTGCACAAGTTTGACAGACAAAGGACAATTGGTTAAATAGTGAGACCCCTTTAGAGCCGAGCAATCTGGTTCGTTGAGCAATCTTTCTCTGAGCAAAATTTCCATCAATCATTGCGCAATCACTCCCCTTTGGCTGGGATTGCACAAGTAAACGATTAAAATCCATAGATTAATCTCCATAATTAATAGTATATCCCAAAGAAAAGATCGCTGGAATATGGTTTACATATTTTACAATTACATTGCAATTATATTGTGGAAATGATAATGCGGAATTTGTCAGGTGTGTATTTGACGGCGTGCTAGGAGTCGACACAGTGGTATCAACTCCGATATGGTGTGGTGGTGACCGAATCGCTTGCACACTGGGTCAACCGCTCGTTTGTGTGTGCATAAAAAAGAAGCAGAAAGAAGCTGAAAGAGAAAGAGTAGCTTGGTAAATGCCAAGTGGAGAAGGGTAAGACGAGGACTGCCTGTGGCTTGTGGTAAATGACTATGAGAGTGAAAAGGAGAGGCAACAAGGGGTTACGCGACTCCTCATGGTACATTTCAAGTTCAGTTCTCGTGGGACAGCCGGTCTCATTCGTTTGCTAACCACTCTAAAAATAATTTGTTAAATGTATTCCCACGGTTTTAAAACGTAAAACACCGCGAAAAGCGATTCCAACGGGAAATTGTTATTTTCCACAGGTGAATATCAGCCCAAACTCTTGGCGAGGCTCATTAGATGAAACGATAACGTCTAGAGGTAGGACTCAGAGGTCTATCACGCTTGATAAGTTACAATATTTCTAATTATTTCCATTTATTGCTTCTTGAATTGCGTGAAAAGCGCGGCAATTTATCGCAATCATTCGAAAAATGGCTCTTTAGATAAATTAAATAGTTTGCACTCACCCCGAATGCTTGAAGTTGTGATAATGATGAAGATAAAGTGTTGAGTATTTTGCGATGAACAGTATCCGGGAAGTGGCTTATCGCCTTGTAGTGGATGCAACCACGGCGTAATCAGGAACACACGACCAGAGCATCAACCCGAATCGGCCCTTCTCCCTTCTTCCTGTGCATTCGTATTCATCACGTCATCGCAATGTGTACACCATCCGCATGCAGTCCAATGATTTTAGTGGTGGACAATGAGTTTTAGTTTGTTCCACATCATACACAATCCAAATTGGCGCGATGAACTCTCATTGATGGTTCAATTGTAATTGTCCAGCTTGAAATTCAGATTGAAATTACTAAACTGTACGAATTGTTCCTGGTCCATTGTTTCACTTGCTCCTTCACCAGGCAAAACCAATCTAGTCTGCATGGGCTTTTATGCTATCCAGCGACATTGACATTTCCATTTTCTTCTCGGGATGAAAGTGACCCGAGTCATGTGTTTCTCCTTGGTTTTAGCTATCGAAATGCTATTTGCGGCTGTCTGGATTTTCTTGTACACCGCAGCTGAAAGTCATCAAGTCAGGTGAGTCGATGGCACTGGTAAATTTAGTATTGCTTATTGCAGTTATCCATACCAATTATGCCAGTCTCCTCATGCCAGTCTGAGACGTGCAGTGATTACACATTATTGCATTCGGAGATGATAATGTAAAGTTAACAGAAAGGCTCTATGAAACTTCTCATCACTTGAATAATCCCCCTTGAAGAAATTACGCGTTGACATAATTGATGTTGGACGATCCTCCCTCTTATTTAATTTCTGCTCTTCAGGTTCTTTCGGACATTTGAATGCATTAATGGCCAGTGCCAGCGAACACAACGACCGGTATCAATTCTTGATGTCGAGAGACTGAAAATCCATGGACAGCATACCACTCTGGCAGCTTGCAAGTTGATCTGTGGAGGCAATGGAGCACTTTGGCCTTTACCCACCGGCCCTTTCAGTATCGGCAATAATGTTAGTATTTAATTATAAGGGTAAATGTCTATTACTTCCCCTCCCCCTCGCCCTCCCCAAAATAATATAAAAGTATGTCGTTAATTGCCGTAAACTTCTTCGATTTGGAAATATTCACGGAGTAATAAATATATTCATGCATGTGAATTGATTAATGATTTTAATTTTTATTTGTTCTGGTGTTCACGGTTTATAATTACCTGTTGTAGTATCTCCTCACACATCCCGACAAAATAACTTTCGACCTGACAAGAATTCCCCCAGGGGTTGATTCATTGATTAATGAAGTAATCAACATATTCAGAACAAATGTTGAATCATCCTGCGGTGATAACTGTGATGCAGTTGATTCATCAGTGATTGTCCATGTCAATGTGGAGTCAGGAAATCTCGAACTCGGTTGGAATACCTACGAGAACTACATTCTTCGGATCATCACTGAAGGTATTCTACGATAAACTAGAATGAATTAATCAGAAAAACAACAATTAATTAATCCTCTTTGGAACTATTATAAAATTAATTGCTTAAATTATACTAATCAATCATTCATGAATCTAGAACCTATTATTAGTTGTGAGATGCTTCTGTTTTTCTAAAATTATGCTAAACCGTAATTAATACGTTTCACTCATGGAATTATTATTTTTCAATAAAAATTTGATGCTTAGATGAGGAAGTGCACGTACACATCAATGCGACCTCTGTATACGGGGCTCGTCATGCTCTGGAAACTCTCTCTCAGCTAATTGCACCGATCATTAAATCGAGTGATAAGAGAGGATTGGTGATCATCGATGAGGCTAATATCGATGATAAACCAATTTTTAAACACAGGGGAGTTATGATAGATACTGGGAGAAATTATCTACCGGTCTCTGCGATATTAAGAACAATCGATGGACTCGCAGCTACAAAAATGAATGTTCTACATTGGCATGCCACTGATTCACAGAGCTTTCCATTGCAGATCAAAAGCAGACCACTAATGTCATGGTAATGATAAACTCAGTGGTTTAACAATTAAAATTTATGAGCCAATAGTACGAATATCTTTTTCACAGTAAACATTTTACAGACCACCACTTTTTTACCACTTTTTCAATTATATTTATTGTCATGGACATGAAATGTCAAACTCCATTTAGTATATTATTTCAAATCACTGAATGGGATGGGGAACAATTGACTTGTAGGTACGGCGCTTATTCGCCGAAGATGATCTACACCCCTGAAGACATGGGGCGTATTAGAAACTACGCGAAATATCGGGGAGTGAGAGTGATTCTGGAGATGGATTCTCCAGCTCATGCAGCGACTGGTTGGGAATGGGGTGAGACCCAGGGACTTGGAAAATTAGCGGTTTGTGTTGAGCAACAACCCTGGAGGAATTTCTGTATTCAACCACCATGTGGACAGTTAAATCCAGTCAATCCTCATGTCTTTGAAGTTCTCAGGGATGTGTACAAGGATTTTTTTTCAATTCTGGGGAACGACACTGTCCTGCATATTGGAGGAGACGAGGTGACTCTTTCTCACATCGATTAATAGAGTTCTCATTTAATGAAATTTCCGATTAAGAGGATTGAATTTCTAGGTATGGTTGCCATGTTGGAACTCCACCCAGGAGATTGTCGACGCAATGCAGGCCAGAGGCTTGGGTAGAACAACCGAGGACTTTTTAAAACTTTGGGGAGAGTTCCACAACGAACAGTTGGAACTCATAAGCAAACTTAAAGAGAGAAGCGACTCTGTGATCGTTTGGAGCTCTGGTCTCACTGAACCCAATGTAATTGAGCAGTATCTTGATAAAAATCGGTTTATTATACAAACATGGCTGCCAGCCGCCTCCACCGTTCCGGAAGAACTCCTCAAACGGGGATACAAATTGATTATCTCAACGAAAGACGCCTGGTACTTGGATCATGGCTTCTGGGGAATTACAAAGTACCATTCGTGGAGGGATGTATACGAAAATAGAATCCCAAGAAAGGTATGTCTATATTTTTTATAGCTTGGCACAGTCCATTATAGTTTTTTTACCTTCCAAATGATCCCCAGGAGGCTGTCCTTGGAGGTGAGGTGTGCATGTGGGGCGAATATGTGAATCAAGGGGGTCTGGATGCTAGAATATGGCCAAGAGCAGCAGCAGCTGGTGAAAGACTCTGGACAGATTCCACGACATTAAAAACAATCGATGTGGAACCGAGGTTTCAGGCTCACAGAGACAGACTGGAGAACCGAAATGTTAAAGTTGATGCAATTTCTCCTGCGTGGTGTGCGCAGCATGCAACAAAGTGTGATTAGCAGATCAATTGCCAAGAATTTTAATATTCTTACAATTTTGCTATTGGGGATGACGTCTCCCGTTGATTCTTCCTCGTTGAATAATAATTACTTCTACAAGAATATCTTTGATATTTCAAGCCAGATGATTAATGTGTGATAATAGGAGAAGAAGATGCAGGAGAAGAATGAAGCAGTCCTGTTACCTGATAATTGAAAAACAATAAAACGTTTCTAAAAATTGTTTAATCTACGTAATTAACAGGTGTTAATTATTGGGTATTGGTGTGACAAAAAAGAAATTAAAGAACAATTTCACTATTTAATGACGGGATACAGGTGTCAAATAGAAAATCCATTCCAAATTATTGCCTTCTCAATTTTCACTTATTTTAAATTATTATTATTTTCACTATTATTTAAAATAGTCATTCTGTCATCCGCGAAAGACATTCGAGATTGTTAATTGATTGAATTACTACTAGACTAATTTAAATAAAAGCATGTCCATATTACCCCCCACTCCCCTGCAGATTTACTGCAAATTTTCATGGGCATTATCTATAATACTGATTTTAATTTCAAAAATATTTGGAAACTGGTATTTTTGTGTCCATTATCTCATAATAAATACGTTCGGTAAATAGGTCATCTTCTTGAAGTATACGATAAGTGGTATGCTTATTCTATTTGCCAATGTATAATTCATACGAAGAGGTATTTATGTACATATGTAGGTATATACCCTTGAACAGTGGCAGCACCGCCTAAGATATTCCACAATTGCGATGTGTATATATTTCCATCCACTAGCGCTCAGCTGACGTTCTGACAATCGATGGTAGTGATCGGAAATAGAGCCTCCCGGGATATAGAAAAGTCTCAAGATTATGTTTATTTAATCGTGTCTTCCTTCAATTGATCTTAGAATAGTTCATACGAAATGTCAGTCAGTAATATCGTTGCATTAAAACCCGGGAGAACGCGTTTGTCATTCAAGATATCATTACTCTAGGTTATGTTTTCGAATCTCCGTTGCGTATTTATTATCAGATGAATTTTTGACGTTTTTGTGATGCCTTGGATGGAGTTTCTCTGAGTCCAATACAATATTCATAGTTTATTAATTAGGTAAGTGTAATTTGAATAGATTATTCCCTCCGCCATTGCGACAGTCGAGTCACGTCAAAATTATTTGAGTCATCCTCGCGCCTTTAAAGAGTTATTACCGAGATCTTCTCATTTTGCGTGTTTTTTTTTGTAAATTTCTGGGGGATCTTGGATCAGATTGACATGAAAAAATATACCGTTTGTTGAGTTTTATCATTATTCAATGACTCGCAAATTTTGATAGTTCTGTCTATTTTTATAAATTTTTGGTAAAGTTTTGGGAATTTTTGCAAATGTTTTCTGAAAATGTAGGCAAATTCGCCCACGGTGATGAAACTTGGTGGGACATTGAATAATTTTATCAGCCGTTTCTCAGAAATTTGTAAAAAAATTGAAAAATAAGAAGATATCGAAAATAAGTCTTTGAGGAAAGTATTATTATTTTTTTTCCTAATTATAAGTATCCGTGTGATTCAATAATTAATTTTTAAATTTTCAATTTCTTTCTTGACATGATTCACTCAATATGAGAGTTTGGATAAGTGGCCGATTATGAATTTAATATAAAAAATGAATTTATAAACTAAACTTACATTTTCAGAGGCATAGTAGATTAAAATGGACATTATAGACTTGGATGTTCTCGAAACAAATTCTCGTTCAATAAAAAACTCCGGAGTAAGATGCAACTGCATAAGCTCAAACTCAGCCTGTTACATAGCAGTGACAATCGCCACTCTGGGATTTCTCGGAGCAATTGTTTTCATTTGTAGAGATTACATAAAAGTCCTGCTGTACTGGATCGAGCACCAGGACACGTGGGTGATAACAGTGATCGTCACAGCACTCTTCACAGTCGTTTCCTTTCCAATAGTCATTGGGTACCTGTTCCTTATAATTGCCAGTGGATATTTATTCGGCATTGTCAGGGGTATTGCCATGGTAGTATTGGGAGCAAATCTGGGGATTGCTGTCGCCCATACTACACTCAGTGCTTTATCCCCAAAATTACCTATTGGGGCATTGTTGAGAAGTGAAACAGCGAGAGCTATCTTGAGAGTCATATCAGGACCACAGGCCTTCAGAGTAGTACTCTTCGCAAGACTCACACCTATTCCATTTGGACTGCAAAACACGATTTTTGCTGTAAGTAAGAATACCACATCTCAATGATCTACCAGATTTTTCCAAACTTTGTATTTTAACAGGTCAGCAATATCAGTGGTCTAAGATACCACATCGCAAGTGCAATCGGTCTTCTCCCAGCGCAAATAATCAATGTTTACCTTGGAAGTAGTCTAAGGTCGATGCAGGATGTATTAGAAGATAAACATACAGCCACAACTGGATACATCGTATTCTGCATTCAGGTAGAATAAAATAAATCTGTTGTTATTTTTGTCACTCACCTACGGAATTGTTAAAATACAGAAATCTAGGATATAATGGATAATTTTTTTTTACTTTCAGATACTCGTAGCTGTCTCACTGATGGTCTACGTTGTGCAAAAAGCACGTCGTGAGCTGCATCTCGCCCTCCTGGAGGCAGATCTCGCCTCCATGACAGATAGTTCTCATTATCTTCATGACTCATTACCCGAATCCAAAGGATCACTCGTGACACTCATTGCGTAATTCCTTATGTAATTATTGACATAAAAAAATATTGAATATTCTTCTCAAGACCTGCAGGACACATCGAGGTAGGTCTCGTCTTCATTCAGTACTCGTTATCGTGAATAAGTCGAATATGATTTTCTTTCATAAACGAAAAGTCTGGAAAATATTCAATCGGTCTAGCTGTGCCAAAAAAAAAATCAGGAGAACTATCCTTTCGATGATAAAACGCATCTTCTGCACTACATCACTGACCTTCCTTTTATACAGTTGTTGAGTTTTTTTTACATTCATATATTCCCTGTTGATAACTTTTTTCAATAGGTCATTGTATCGATTATTTACGGGTGTATTTGTTTCGTACTGAAATATTTTTCCTACATTTTTTTTTATCAAATCAATTTTTCATTGAATGTAGACCATTTTTAGATACTCTCATCAGAGAATTAATTTTATTCTCCTCGAAGTAAATATTCAGGGATAATGGAAACAAGTATTGAAGTAACAGTTGAAATCGATGGAAATTAGCTCCACTTTTTCGCCTAGAGTATTTGTATCTTTTGAAAAAGGTGAGGGAGGAAGCGTAAATTAAGAATAGAAGTGACATGACGTGCACTATTTTCATCAATGTATCGTACCGCAACTTGTGAGTGTGAATAATTAATAACCGTAAAAATAGCAATCCCATTGACAAAATTTGAGACGAACTCCATGTATTAAAAACGAAATTTGCCATGTGCATGACAAAATATTTAATATTCTCTACTAATCGATTTGATACGTAAAATTTTTGAATTTGAATCTCATAAGAATTATTTTTACATCGATTTATTGGATAAAACGGTAGAACGCACAACTGTGCTTGTCTTCCGAATTCAAAAAATAAATAATAATCCATTTGGTCGCCTTCAAAGGTGAAAGAAGGATGAATTGACAATTAAATGCTCTAAAATTATTAGAACACTGAGAAAAAATTATATTGTTTCGTATTCAAGGTGAATATTATGAGTCTTGAATTTGCGTGATATGTATATAGCATTATTATCAAATGATAATGAACAGATGATATACACCAGACAGAATTAATCGCTAATATTCTTGACGTGACCTTCACGGCATTTTCACCTATACAAAGTGGCTTTTGAAAGCCACAAATAAATTGAAAATATGACTAAACTCTCATTTCAAAATCCATAAAAAAAATTCTGAATTGTTGATAGTATGCCCGTGATTTGTACAAATGTAAAAAACAAATATATTACTATAAAAGTAAAAAAGTACAAAGTCGATTTGGAATTGAATTTCAAAGAGCTCCTATGTACACATTATCCCTGCTAATTAAGTTTCTGTCCCTGCAGTTGTCCAGAGCTTTTTTAATCACTTCGACAGTGAAATCGGCGTCTTCTTTGGTTACGCACATGGGTGGCTTTATCCGCAGAACCTATAAATAGGAATGTCAATTAATTCTCCAGATTCAATCTGATTAGAAATACTAATGAAATTGCGCGAAGCCTTACGTTTTTATGAATTCCACCTCTTCCAATGAGCAATCCCATGTCCTTAGTGTCCTCGAACAATGAGGCCATGTACTCATCCTCCAGGGGAGTCTTCTTGTCAGGGTTTGACACCAATTCTACGCCGATCATCAGACCCTTTCCTCGGACATCTCCAACCATCGTTGGATATTCCAATAAAAGAGTGCTTAGACGGTGCAATAAATACGTTCCAACGACTTTAGAATTTTCTTGAAGTTTTTCCTCTTCAATTACCTGAAAGTCAAATAAGAACGTGAATTTTCTATAAACATTCCAAATTCCGAGAAATTTTAATATTTCAATAATTTCATTGATTGAAATCCCATTGAATTTTTTTCATGCAGATGTTATATTAATTATTTATAATTATTGAATTAATCTTCTTTAATTATTGAATTATTCTTTAATTATTGAATTAATCTCTCTGAAATTGCTCAGATCGCAATTTGAAGATTCTTCGAAGTAACCTTATCAAAGTAAATTAAAAAGATTCGGCTGGCCTTGACACAGAAATATATCAGTTTAACATCCTCACATTGATTGTATTGATTGATAACTTACGTCAAGAACCGCTGAACCAATAGCGCAGGCCAATGGGTTTCCCCCGAATGTATTGAAATGAAGTGCTTGACTCAAGGACGCTGCAATTTCTGGTGTTGTGACAACTGCCCCCATAGGAAAGCCATTACCAATACCCTTCGCCATCGTCACAATATCGGGAATGATATCGTCACACTCAAATCCCCAGAAGTGATCGCCTGTTCTACCGAAGCCTACTTGCACTTCATCCGCTATGTACAGTGCATTTTTTGATTTTATTATATCATATGCACCACGTAGATATGTGCGAGGGAATTGAACTACACCACCAATTCCCTGTGAATGAATAAAACATCTTGGAACGTTTCGATCAGATATTCTAAGTATCCACTTCTTAAAAACCGACGTAAATTGATCCATTAGAGAAATCCCTTTTCAAAAAACAGAAAACAAAATTTATTGTCGTCTGGTTGATGAAAAAATTAGATTTTATGAAGAAGTCAGTTCCGTCACCAAAATTATTATCCTCTGCGTACCTGAATACTCTCCGCGATAAAAGCCGCAAATTTCCCATTATTCGGCAAAGAAAATTGAATAGTGTCTTTGAGATCCTTGAGATATTTCTCCGCAGCAATGCACTTATCTCCAATGCACTCACATGTCTGGCCTCGTTGAGATACTGGACAATCCCGACACTGAGAGCCACCCCAGGAGCCCCTGTACACATCTGGAACTGTGACCTAATCATGAACAACAATTAGACCAATCATTGTCTTAATCGTCAGGATTTAGATGTCCTTTTGTGGAAAGCAATACAAAACGATATTCAATACAATACCTGGGGGTGACCGGGGGCTGAGGCGATAGGATATCTCCAGGTTGACATTCCTGTTGCGGCGTTAGTCATGTACGTACTACCGTGGTACGAATTGTTCAGCGAAATAATGTCTTGCGCCCCAGTGTATACTTTAGCCATGAGAAACGCAAGCTCATTAGATTCAGAACCACTGTTAGTCATGTACAATACTTTCAAGTTCCCTGGCAATTTTCCTATCAATTTATCAGCGTACTCCTGGTATTTCGGGTGCATATAAATAGACGTCGTGTGGTTTAATTTGCTCAATTGGCTGGTTGCTGCCTCCGTTACTTTCCTTTTAAACAATTCAGGCTTTCAAGAGTTTAAAGAACATCAAGTTGAGAAAACGTGATGCCTCAAATTAAGACACTATTTCATTAATTAAGACACTCGCCAACTTCTCAAAGCCATTTTTGGAAGGACTCACTAAGAGGACACGATTGTGGCTTCATTTGAGACATCATTTTATCAGAATTGTGTGTTCCGATTCACGCTGGAGAAATTTGTGAAATGTGCGGGTTAAAAGTCACACCGGAAGAGAATTCTTGATGAGGAGAATGGAAAGTGCAATGACGAACAGATAAATAATGTATGATCGTGGGTCAATCGCCTATTCTTCGAGGGTACGAATCACTTGTTGCAAATTATTCAAACTCGCATAAAGTCGTTGGATAGGAACGAATAAGTCGTGAAGTAATGCAAGATAAGTATGCGTGATACATGAACATTATTATCGAATGCAGTATAAGAAAAAATTCTATTCACATTTCCCACAGGACATTTTAATGGCCCTTTTTTGTTTAGGAAGTATTGGGTTGTCTACAGAATTTTTCAGTGGATTCGAAGAGAATCGGGATTCGTAAATTTATGGTAACTCTCGTTAACGATTAAAGTTTCAATTGTCGAAAAAATTTCTACAGAAAAGGGTTTGAAAGAAAAACTTAAGGGGAAATCGCAGAGATTTTTCGGGGGCAATTGCTTGGACTACTTTACTTTACTTCAAGGATATTTGCTTGATTCTTTTATCATAATCACCACGATATGCTGGGCTATTTATTTATCTAATAAGCGAATATCATGAATTTTTCAACTTACGGATGAGAATGGCCAACAGAAACAGTGACAACGCCTCCAAACATATCCAGATATCGCCTCCCTGTATGATCCCAGAGCCATTGCTTATGACCTTCATGAATCAAGAGTGGTTTTTTATAAAAAGGAGGAGTGGTAGGGGTCACTGAGTTCATCCTGCCAGACTTGACACTATCATAATGTGAACCCTAGTAATAAATAAAACAGTCCGTGAGCGAGTGCACATATCTCGCACTTGAAGAATTTCATGCAATGTTCAGACATATAGGAGATCATTAAGGGATGATTTTGTTAAACCTATTTGATGTCTGGTCTTATACAAACGTGTTTTTTATAATAATTATTAAGACGATAGATTTCTCTTCTTAACTTATTATTTATTTATGATAAATTGATGGATATTGATGGACACGGGATAAGAACTAAAATTGTCAATTGGAATTTTAAGTCGATTATTCCATGAAAATGGATGGAAATCATGAATGAAAAGCACTCAATATAAACCAAAATTAATTAATCCATCAATTAGCGGAGATCCAGGGCATTGAGGTAAATAAATTACTGCGCTTTAGAAGATAAAAAGTATGCCATACATTTTTAATTTTAGGAAAACTCACTTTATAATTCGAGACTGTAAAGTTACAACCTGGAATTTCCGGAAGAGAGCTGTATCTCCTAATAGAACTCCAGCGTCCAGTGACACCTGAAAGGTAATCGGGTCAAATATCTTGTTCTTTTAAAAAACTTGTTATTGTCACCAAAGTCACACTCACCTTTAAGAGCCATTTCTTCCTTTATCAATCGATACACGAGTAACAAAAATTATTTCCGAGAAATTTTACGATTTTTATTTTTTTCAATACAATGAGAACCTAGTGGTGAATTGAATAGTGATCAATTGAACTTTGTTATTATTGAAATTTGAAAGTTGCGTGCGCGCCTGCTAGCCGATGTTGCCAGATTAAGTTGAGTGAAAAATTCATTCATGCACATGCTAGCAATGTCAACATGTATGCATTGAACCACGTGATTGGTTATCCAGGGAGTGGGAGAGAGTAAAAGTTGTTTTTACGTATTTTGACTGTGTGTGTCCAGCATCAATAATAAAAGAGAATACATAGACACTTTGAATTGATCATAAGACCTGCAGCAAAGGAAAATAGAAAAAGTCGGAAAATCATTTTGGAGCATATCATCATGTGTATGTATGGGGCAACGTTTTCAAATTTCACCTGTGAAATTAAATAATCTTCTTTCTGACTATCATTGAACCTTCGTCGTAAATACCAATTAAAATTCAACTCCTCCATTAATTTTTTTAATTTTTGATTTTTATTGAAAATCTCATTTCTCATTTCTCCCCTAGTTCTCGAATCAATTTGAAGATTTCACTTTCTTATTTTACTCAGATATTCTAAAATGGGAATAATGTATCCGAATTCTTTGAGCCAAATTCCGTTGTTTGAATGAGATGATTGACTGGAAATAGACAGTGATAAAGATAAAATGAGAATTCACTATTTTTTATTTTTTTATTTACAAATGATTCATAACGTATCGTGTCAATTTTCGATTTTTTCCACTGACTCTCCCTGAACACCTTGCTGATCGACCGGCTGTCCAGCGTTCAATGTCCTCAACTGTTCGTCTACGGGCTGCCTGAATTTGAAGAGAATAGGAATTTTTTCCAACATAGGGTTTCGAGGCTGGAGGCACCTGATCCATGAAAGTAAAGAGTCTTTACTTGAAGTCCCCGTTGCACAGATACCAAAGATTGTTTGTTCGTCCTGTTCGTGGATGGCCCGTCGATGAGCTAAGGATGTCCGATTCATTTTCCAAAAATTTACCTCGAAGTTTGAGACATCTGAAAAAAATAATTATAGTAGAGACGCAAATGTTCATAAATAATTTATTTAAAAAAACAGTATCTTTGAAAATGACAAAATTTCCATTTGCAAATATTTTTAAATTACTATTCGCCGATAGTTTAAAATGAAGAATCAAATTAAATCATCATAAATTCGAGTCATCACACATTTAAAAAATACCGCGAAAATTGATACCAGAAATATACCAGAAAATTTTGAACTCACCGTCTTTATCATAATTATTTCCTTTCCAATTTTTCAGTGGATCAGCCCTCAACAAAAAATAGTCTACAGCCCCCTTTGACACCCAGACCTTGAAAGGCCCCTCAACATATGCAGCAACATCCTGAGGATGTTCTGCAATGAGTCTCTCCTGATCAGGACTTGAAGCCGATACGATCCAGGTCTTATCAATGGACTCTTTGACACTATCAGTATGAAAAACAGTGATGGTACTTTGCACATCGACAGTGGCAATCTTCTCGATAGCTATCTTGGCTAATTCGAGAGGTTCATTGGGCATAGGGTGGGGCCAGGGCCAAGGGTTCAAGTTCTTGAACTTGCCCTGCCAATATGTCATCCTCCTGAGCTTCCTCAGAGGCACTGCTAGATCGCCAAAAATATTAATCAACATCATCTCGAGCTCCTCATCCGGGATCACCCCATTGTTCTCCATCTTCTCCAAGAACTCTATTGCACATTGTTGTTCACGCGGATAGAGCATTAACTCAGCCTGCATAAGAGTTCTACTCACGAATCTCCCTTTTGGCATTGTATCCATCACTGCTTTGTACACTTCCAGATCCTCATTCACTCCAAATTCATCCATGTACCTCATCGCAGCGTAGATAAACTGAACGTGTCCCGTTTTTCTGGGTGGAGAATTCTTGTAAGTATAAATGACATTCAAATACGTTTCCTTCTCCTTGTCGTGCTTCTTCACTGTTTTGAACAGTGATACCTCAGATTTCTTGTCTTCCTCGAGACTCGCAAGACAACAGGGACTAGTCTGTATTAATCTACTGGGGGATATCAAGGGCAGGAGCCACGGGAACGATCTCAAGCCCTTAATTGCCAATGTCACTGTCGGTAACGGGACCATATTTTTTCATTTATGAAAAGTCTCGGTTGATGTATTGTCCTGGACCATTTTATCTCTCCATGACAGCTCCGATTTTCTGATAACAATTAAGTTTGATTATCATTATTACGATCGCGTTTTGAACATTTAGACATTGAAGAACTAACCTCAAAACATTTATTGTAACAGACGATTTTATGAGTTTAGCAAATTATGAAATTGAATTGATTTAATAGTCTGACGTTTTTAAATTCCAAATATAATGAAAAATCAATTGAGCAAGGTGTAAATTTACCTATCATTGATCAATAAACCGGATAATTTTGGTGACCGGAGAGCGCCATTTTAAAAGTACATCTGAAAATTCTCTACATTACCTGCTGAACAGAATTTTAAAGGTTGGATTGGAATATTGGATAGCCAGTTCCACGTAGGAAACAAGTCTCCTGACCCTTCTGACTTTGTTGGCGAGAGATAGATTAACATTATCCAGGCATTTTTTATGCTGCGGGATTATGGTGGCAATAATGAATAGTGGTGATATTGACGAGAAGAACCCAGAGAGCCCTGACGACATTCCGAAAGAGATGAGAGTCTACTCTCTGGAGAGTATCCTTTGAAATCATAGAGAGTGTATCAGTTAACCTATTATTCCAAAGCCATATGTCTGTCATTGCTTATGGATGGCAGTAACAATTGCATGTTTTGTGAATAAAAGTGAATTTTCCTTAATACTGTTTGATTCAGTTCTGAAGATAATTAAAGAGGCCCAGCAGCAACATGGTCTTCGTCATGGCGACTATCAGAGGTACAGAGGCTACTGCTCCAGACGTCTCAGGAGGCTGAGGAAGGTCCTGAAGGTGCCCCAGGGGGACAGGAGACACTTCAAACGCAGGGATGTTACTGCTACTATGGTGCACGACGATAAATTTCTTCAAGTTCCTCTTACAATGGCAGAACGTGCATGGAGTCATGCCATGCAGCTTCGAATCGAGGCTAATACTGAACCCAGGAAGAAATTCCATCTCATTTCAAGGCTCAGAAAGGCTGCTGCCTATGCTCTTCAACTTCAAGAGTTGATTGAAGTAAATTAAAAAATTTTATCCAATTTCGAAAACTAGATTTTTTATCTCATTCATTTCAATTGGGATTTTTTTTATTTACGAAATAATTCGATTTTTTTTAGAATGTCAATTGTGATGCTCGCACGAAGCTCGAAGCTCAGGCTTACGTAGCCTGGATGCAGGGTTCTCTTCAGTTCGAGCTGCAGCTCTGGAAAGATGCAATGACGAACCTGAAGAAAGCCCAAGTGGTATACGGAGAGCTGGCATCAGCCCTTCCAGAACTAGAACAATTGATCTACAAAGCCCGAGTCGAGGAATTAGCCCCCAGTCTGCGTTACTGTGCCTACAACGTAGGGGACACTTCAGCAATCGATGACCTGATGCAGATGAGAGGACAACTGAGTAACGAATTACTCATGAGTTTGGATTCCCTGATGGCACAGACTCGTGAAAAGCAGTCGACCGCAGAGGAAGTGCTTTGGCGCGGAAAATCATGTGGAATAGTTCCGGCACGTGCTACAGGACTATTAATCGCTGACTCTCGATTGAATCAGACCCTAGAGAAGACTAGTGCGCTGCAGGGAAAAATTGATCTCCTCGAGGCCCATCTGATCGATTGCAAGGACGTGATGACTACAGTCAGAGAAATATTTAAAGCAGAATTGAAAAACAAGGATGACAAGACTCCGGTTCATCACTTGATTGCTTACCTGCAATATATAAGGCTTTCCAGGACCCTCGAAAGGAATCTTGCACTCGTGAGCATCGCTGAGGAATCTGAAAAAACAAAGTCCCAAGATATCGTGCGACTCTATGAAGCAGCTTTGCATAATCTCCTGGAGATGTCCCAGCTGCTGGAGGACGAGGAGTACAGGAAGGAACAGGAAGCCAAGAGCAAAGGCTATCGGGCTTTTAGGTGCTTTCACATGGCCCAATCCTTTGCTAATTTGCACAGATGGAGGGAAGCCATGGCTCTGTATCAACGAGCCCTTCGCCACACTATCGACGCCCTTAACGAACAATCGTTCCTCCCAGAGGATCTCAAGTGCTCTTTGAAAAAACTCGAGAGTTCGATCGAATGTGCACAATGTGCTGCTCATGCTCACAGTGTCCTTGAGGAAGGAGGCGAAGAGGAGACCGGAGCTGTCAAGCAAATGAAGAGCAAGAAACCACTCATCGAGAGACTCCACGAGTACAGGGAGGATAATTCTCTTCTCACCAAACAACCCAATGTCTTCAATATCCCACCTCCTATGCAGAGCATTCCATTCAAACCTTTGTTCTTTGATCTTGCGTTTAATATGGTGGAATTTCCGGATTTATCGGATAAACTTGGCGATCAAGGGAAAAAGGGACAAGCTGGACTCACTGGATTTGTTAAGGGCTTGTGGGGATGGGGAAATAAATAATTGGAGATTTGAAATTTTTGTATTATCTTTGGATTGAATTTATTTCAGAAATAAAAACAGTTATGTTCGGTTTGATGATAATTTTGAATTTTCAAATTTCAGTCAATACCTCCTCAATTGTCATGTTCCTCTGATACTTTTTCAAAAATTTTGAATTTGAAAATTTCAGTGAATATCTCTTCAATGTTCATGTTCTCCTGATACTTTTTCGAAAATTTTGAATTTGCAAATTTCAGTGAATACCTCCTCGGATCTCCTGTTCTCCTGATACTTTTTCAAAAATTTTGAATTTGAAACTTTCAGTGAATACCTCTTCAATTTTCATGTTCTCTTGATACTTTTTGGTTAAGGGTTAATTGGATTTGCTTAAAGGTTAATTAGATTTGAGTAAGGATTAATTGGATTTGGTTAAGTTTAAATACCGCTGGAGTCACGTAAACCTCCAGAACTGAGCCTCTACTTTAGTTAACCCTCTTTGGTAAAGTGTATCATCTCCGGTCCGCGTTCCGAACCGGGAACCCGGTTCAGTACACGTGTTTGTTTTTCAAGTAAAATTTTTTGCGTCGGCCGCGAATTAATATCGAGTGAGAAATGGAGAAACAGCTAAAGGAATTGGCTATTAGACTCTATGAAATCGATGCAGTAAAATTTGGCGATTTTATTACCAAAGTAGGATTAAAAACTCCAGTGTATGTAGACTTAAGGGTTCTAATTTCATACCCAAAGATATTGGTGAGTGAACCAAACGAAGCTTGAAGCCAATCTTTGAGATAAATTCTCGAAGTAATTTTCCGTTTATCAACAGAAACAAATATCGAATATCCTTTGGGGTTTAACTGCAGATGTGGATAATGTTAATCAAATCTGTGGTGTGCCGTATACTGCTCTGCCAATTGCCAGTATTATATCTGCAGAATGGGATATTCCAATGGTAATCCGAAGGAAAGAAGCAAAAGCCTACGGTACCAAGAAAATGATCGAGGGAAACTTCAAACATGGAGACACGTGTGTAATCATCGAGGACGTGGTGACCAGTGGAAGCAGCATCTTAGAAACCGTGAGGGACTTGAAGAATGAGGGTCTCCAAATCACTCAAACCCTTGTCATCCTGGACAGACAGCAAGGAGGCAGGAAGAATATCGAGAAAAGTGGAATTAAAATGCAGAGTCTCTACACACTTACTCAACTCCTGGAGTACCTCTTGGAAGCGAATAAAATCACCTCGGAAACTCTGAAAGAAGTCACTCACTACCTGGCTCAACATTCAGCTCCTGTAAAAACCCTGGAAGACGGTGAGAATAAGTTTAAAGAAATTTTGATGATTACGCTTTTGTGTAATAAAATGTCAAGGCTTTAAAAAAATGTCTTCATAAATTTACGTGATTAATTTATGAATCAATTAATTCTTTCCTATTGATAGAACTCACGATAATGCAGATCTAAATCGAAATGATTCGGTGTGTAATACATGAAATATTTTGTGTTCTTCAGGTTCTTCAAGAAGATTGAAACTAGATTTTACTGAACGTTCAAAAATTGCTACAAGCCCTCTAGCTTCAAAACTCTTGAAACTAATGGACCAAAAGGGAACAACACTCTGTCTGGCAGCAGATTTGACATCTGCCAATGAGATACTCGAGTTATCGGAACTTGCAGGGCCACACATAGCTGTACTCAAGATCCACGTGGACATAATCGAGGACTTCGACCTAAGCTTCATCCAGAAGCTGAAGCAACTGTCCTCAAAACACAAGTTCTACTTGATGGAGGACAGAAAATTCGGAGATATTGGGAATACAGCATCACTGCAATACGAAAAGGGAATTTATAAAATAGCTGAATGGGCCGATTTTATCACTGCGCATCCTGTTCCAGGCCCAAGCATATTGGATGGCCTAAAATATGCCTTGAGGAATGTCTCTGATGACCGTGGAATATTTTTGGTAACCCAGATGTCTTCCAATGGAGCTTTAACAACCGAAACTTACGTTAAGGCGTCCGTAACCCTCAGTCAAGATTCAAACCTGGTGGTAGGGCATGTTTGCCAGTCAAATATTTTTTCTGACCCTGGATTGATCCAATTGACTCCTGGGGTAAAGTTAACCCAAACTTCTGATAACTTAGGACAACAATACAACACTCCAGAGGTAGTTGTCAATGCTGGCGCTGATCTGGTCGTCGTTGGCCGGGGAATCACCGAATCCCCCGACAAATTATCATCAATCCTTAATTATAAAAATCAACTCTGGGCTGCATACAAAAATCGAATTAGTTCATGATTTTTGGATTAATTTTTTATGAATTACATTTAAATACCCTTCCATAAGCAACGTTTATAAAAAATATTTTTGATGTTAATTTACAATATAAAACATCTCTAGAATATTTTTCATGAAAATATACAAGATAAAAAAATGCAATATCTACATCTGTGTGTTCAGGTAATAATAACAGCTTTTTCATTTTACTCAGTCACAGAGTTGAAATTCATTTAAATAGAAAATTGTTAATGGGCAGCATACATTCGTCTAGCAATCACACGTTTCATCCACTCAGTAACACATTTGAGAGGATTTTCTTTCGTTCAAGCTTCCTTGCTCTTTGTGAGTTCCTCAACGAGTTTCCTGAAGACTTGAGCTACTTGACTGTCAGGGAGGCTTATCAAAATGCTTTGACCCTTGTCAGCAAATTTTCCAATCGCCGGGTCAATGGGTAGTTTAGCTAGAAATGGAACCCTCACCATTTCTGATAAGGCTATACCTCCGCCGGATGAAAAAATATTTGTACACTCCTGTAATAATCAATTGAAAAAGGTAATTTAAAAATATTGAAAAAAAAGCTCTTAACAAAAGAGTGTTGAATGATTGTCAATGAAAATCTTACGGAGCATGTAGGACACACAAATCCACTCATATTTTCAACAATCCCAATAACTTGAATTCCGGTTTTCCTACAAAACGTGACTTCCCTCAAGACATCATCAACAGCGACAGCCTGGGGAGTAGTAACGATGATAGCTCCGTCGCACTTAACATCTCTATAAACAATAAAAATAACATGAATCCCTAATGAGATAAAAACCATCAAGTTTTGTTAAGCACATGTCATCGATCAGTCATCAGTGTGTCTGCTACATGAGTAGAATTTATCTTTCATCCATAATTATCGCACCACCAATGTGTCATATGATTCGCAATCATGAATTCATGTGACTGTTATCAACATGTGACTTCCCTATTGCCCCGCTCTCTTCATTCCTCCAATAATCATAATAAGCATTAAACCTGAGGTTTTCCATAACAGTGATGTGCTCGTCAGATGTGCCAGGAGGAGTATCAATAATGAGATAATCAATGTCCTTCCAGACGACGTCAGTCAAAAATTGTCTGATCATACCGGTTTTCTTGGGGCCTCGCCAGACGACTCCATCATTTCGATTTTTCAGGAGAAATCCAATTGACATGACAGCAAGTGTCTGATCCTGATCGGTGTACACCGGAATCCACCTGGAGTCCAGAATGAATGATAAAACTTATTGATAATATTAAAAAATTTCCAGCTGTCATACCCTTCCGAGGACTGGTGAACATCCTTGTCCTCAATATTGAGGAGATAAGGCACACTGGGACCACACAGATCGACATCGAGGATTCCCACCTCCAGAAAAAAAGCACAATGATTTTTTGGTTGACGTTCATTGTGAAGAACTTAACCTTCTGGTGTTTTCCATTTCTTTTTTTTTACCTTGAAGCCAGCTACCTTGAGGGCGAGGGCGAGCTGAGTACTGACTGTTGATTTTCCAACACCACCTTTACCAGATAGAACCAGAAGAACATGTTTCACCTCGTCCAGCATCGTTGAATAAACTGTCTGTCTCTACTGTTACCAAGAATGATTACAATGTTTTTGTCGGGCTATCCCCTTCCAAAGCAGATGTTTTCCTGCATTTTTTCTTCAACTATTTTTTGCTTCTTTTTGGTGGCGCTCGTGTCTTTGTTGATCGCAGAGGTGCCATAGCAGTTTGAATAATCGATAAAATCGCTATTATTTTGGAGGACATTAAAACACAACAAACAGTCAGTTGTTGTAGTTTTATAGCGTACCAAAGAGTTGTCATGATTCATCATTCTTCAAAGAATTAATCAATGCATATTTTCACAAGATAAAGTTTCGTAATTTTCAAAAAAATTGCAGAATAATCCCGAAGTTTTTAACTCGACTTTTGAATCTACATAAATCGACAAATGGTGGGTCTATTTTCTTATTTCAAAGTCTAAATTATAAAAATAAATGAATATTAACCATTATGTGTACAAATTATGATTAACTGGGGATAACAGTAATTCACACTTACGTGGTTCTGTCAATTACAGACCACGAGACGAGAGTCACGAGTTCTATGTAATGAAGTAGGGGTTTCAAGTCGCGAATTACAAAAGTGTATGTGAAAAAAAAATGTTAACATTGACTTGATCAAATAATTGTATAATCGGTTGGACTTCAAATGGTCGAAAGGGTTTTATATAAATATTCTATGGCACACTTAAACTATTCCGTTTCGTTATTTTGAAATTGCGTTGTCGTTAACTATCAAATATTAATCTAGTCCGTCAATATATTATCCAGGAATAGTTTTCGAAATTGACTTTTGATTCTGTTTTTCAATTTTTCATTTGTGTCGACATTAGATTCTCTCACGAGCTAAGCCCGCATTGTCAGACGCCTCCAGGAAACCCGCGGCACGAAGAGACATCCCCAAGATCGGAGAATTCCTTGATAAAAGGGATTATGCAGGTGCACTAACTCTAATTGAGTTCAATTCGACGAGCAATAACGCTATTGAGACTGAAACGTGGATTGCTTACTGCGCATTTCACCTGGGGGATTATAAAAGAGCAGCTAGTGTGTACGAAGCCCTGAGAAAAAAAGATAAAGCACCGAGTGATGTCTCAACGAATTTGGCTTGTTGTTACTTCTTCCTTGGAATGTATCCAGAGGCCAAAGAAGTTCTCATCGAAGCTCCTGACAGTCCACTCAGGACTAGACTTTTATTTCATCTGGCTCACAAGATGGGTGACGAGAATACTTTTTTGGATAATCATGGTAGGCTAAGAGACATCATCGAGGACCAATTGTGCCTGGCATCGATTCATTATCTCCGGGCACATTACCAGGAGGCTATTGATATTTATAAAAAAGTTCTGCTTGATAACAGGTGATTAATTCAATTCTTTCGTTTTGGCCCTTTCTTTTTTTGGATTTTTATTATCTATTATGTGATTAATATTCCCAGTGACTTGTCCAAATCCCCGCCCCGTGATTCTGATGATTGTAGTGATTTCGATGATTTTAGTGATTGTGATGATTCAGATTTTCTTATCCTACTCAGCAAATCCAGGTATCCCTCCTTTTTTTAATGTCATTGGAATTATATTGGAATTGAATCGGAATTCAACTTAAACAATTTTGTTTCTTAATTTTATTTCGTTCTCTCCTTAATGATTTCAGCAATCTTTCAAGAAATTTCTTTCTAAAATTGGCAGAAAAATTTAAAAAAAACGTGAATTTTGGCAGCAAGATTGTAGAAAATCCTTAAACATTTTCACTGTTCATGATTTCAGGGATTACCTGGCTCTGAATGTTTACGTAGCACTTTGCTACTACAAGCTAGATTACTATGACGTAGCACAGGAAGTTTTACAAGTTTATCTCCAAAAATACCCCGACAGTGCTATTGCGATAAATTTAAAAGCTTGTAATCATTTTCGTTTGTACGACGGAAGTACTGCGCAGACTGAGATGAGGCAATTGGTGGACAAGACAGCATCTACCTACAGCTTCGGCTACGATTTGATTCGTCATAACATTGTGGTAATCATTTCGAATGATCCAGTACTTTTTTGCTTCCATTCCTATTTCAGAGAATTTCTCCCGGTATTGAAATTAATAATTACTTCTGCAAACGAACAAATATTTTTTTTATCAATTAAAAGTAATTCTTTATGATGATAGGTCTTTAAAGATGGAGAAGGAGCTTTACAGGTACTTCCTGGTCTGGTAGACGTGATTCCAGAAGCAAGATTGAATCTCGTGATATATTACTTGAAACAAAATGATATTCAAGAGGCGTATGATTTGATCAAAGACTTAGAGCCTGCTGTTCCTCAAGAATACATTCTCAAAGGAACAGTTCATGCCTTAATTGGCCAGGAGACCGGCTCTGTAAGTTGATGGCCATGATAATTTAAAATAGTTTTTGAAAAAAGTCAATGTTGTACCGAAATTAATTTCAAAAATATATCATATGATTTTACCCCATTGGAATGACACTTGATTATATGACTAATATTATTGTTTCACAGCGAGATAGCCTTAAAACTGCCCAGCAATATTTCCAGCTGGTGGGGTCATCAGCCTCAGAATGCGACACAATTCCAGGAAGACACTGCATGGCCGCCTGTTTCTTTCTTCGTCGTCAATTCGAGCAAGTCCTGGTGTACCTGAACTCGATCAAGACGTACTTCTCCAATGACGACAGCTTCAATTTTAATTATGCCCAGGCACAGGCAGCCTCAGGCTATTTCAAAGAGGCTGAAGAGGCATTTCTTATGATTCGTAATGATAGATACAAAAATGATTACGTTTACATTAGTCTATTGGCTTATTGCTGTAAGTCTATCCAACTTTGTTTTTTGAACGCTTCAATGACATGCCATTCTGGTCGGTACAAGCGTTTGATTATTATTCATTGCAGACATAATGAACAAAAAAGCTCAGTTAGCCTGGGATTTGTACGTGAAAATGGATACGTCGACGCAGTCCTTCAATTTGCTCCAACTAATTGCAAACACTTGCTACAGACTTGGGGAATTCTGGGTCGCAGCCAAAGCTTTTGATATGTTGGATAGAATGGATCCATCTCCGGAATACTGGGAGGGAAAACGAGGAGCTTGCTGTGGTATTTTTCAGTATATTATAGCTGAAAAACACCCTAAGTATGTCTTCAAAATAAAATATTAGAGCCACGTATATTTTTTTTCTACATGATCTAAATTAACAAGTAATCAGCAAATATTAATTTATTGATTGCTCCTACTTTCAGGGAACTGTTGCCAGAGGTCATTCATCTCCTTAGGAATACTACAAATTCTCAGGTGGAACAAATTATTCGAGTTATGCGAAAGTGGGGAAAGGATCATCGAGTAAATTGTTGAAATTTTTAACATAAAGAACAACTTCATCTATTAATCATCTCATTAATAATAATAGAATGAATATAAGCACTATAAACATATTTTATATTTCTCATTGCGAATTTTTAGCATATAAATAATAAAAATGGCTCAATTGTCAACAGATACGAAGTCGAGAAAATTATGACTTGAAGAATAACGAGGAAACCTGCTGTCAATGGCGACGAAAAAAGTCCAACTTAGTTTCATTATTGAATCCTATCTTATTCATTTTTACGACATTACATATTTGTAAATTTACAGCGTTTGATTACAATGTCCATTTATCATAGAAAAACATAATTATTCGAAACTAAACAACAAGATTCACCTGTACAAGCGATTCGCACAAAGAGATCATTGCTACCAATTCTTCAGGGCGAAATCCACAATTCTGTTTTCTTCATCATTTGACCAGTTTTACTCTCACTGTAAAACAAAACTCTTCTCGTAGCCAATCCTGCAGATACCAATTTACAACACATGGGCAAGTAGCTACTTCGATAGCTACGAAAGCCCTTTTGTCATAGGTGAGCGTTATAGGCCGCGTAATGTACGGTTGTCATTGCGAGAAGCTGATAAGATCCACAACACGAACAAAAAACGTACACGTACGGCGAATATCAAATAACCAGCATTTTGGCTCATAAAAAACAGTGTAGGAGGTATCTGCATCTGTGATAGAGCTGTTGAAATAATTACTATCCCTGATGAAGACCCGATCCATGAAGTTCGATAAAACTCTCCAAAGACCTTGGGACATTGCCTGAGTAAGAGAGGTTGTATGTCTTGACAGCTTTGGCAGCCATACACTGAAGGGACAATTTAGTCTGTGTTCTAAGTATAATCTCAGTAACTCCCGTTGTTGCAGCATCATACGGCGTCTCTCCCTGGCTATTGACAATGTCCATGTGTGCCCCAGCCTCGATCAACTCCAATATAATCCCATGAAGCGTCATAAAATCGCTGATAGGCTTTGTGTAAGTAACAATTACATGAAGAGGAGTGTTTCTCTCATTGTCCATGGCATTGACATCAGCTCCACACTCAATGAGTAATCGGGCAGTAGCTGCGCAGGGAAATTTACACACATCGTTCGTGTGAAAATCATCCACTGGGGTTTTTGCATTTACAGCCAGATGCAGAAGAGTTTGCCCGTCTCTGAGGGTCATCTTGAGAGCACACAGCTTGTGGACGAGAAACCTAGCCTTGCTTATACTAGGTTCGTCATATGATTTCCCCTTGAGTGGCATCAGCTGTACCAGAATAGTCAATATGTACAATGTTGTCATGACATTTGACTCTGTCTCTTCAAGGTACTGTTCGTCATCCTCTTTGGCCTCAGAGGCGAGCATCCTCGTTTTATTTCTCCCCAATTCAACGACACTTGCCTCGAGGACGTCCATTACTTGACTCAATTGGAGATTAATACCGACGTGAATCATTTGAGAGAAAACCTGGGCAAATCTGAGAAGATCCTTCACCGCCGTGATGTTATTCCGTTGTCGAAGATGAAGTGCATGCAGCCATAGATCAATACATCTATCGAACCTAGCATTGTCCGCAAGCACAGCACCTCTGTAAACTATGGGATGAGGCACTTCTGGATTGTGCTTTCCAAGGATTCTCTCTCGGATAGCCAGGGACTCCATGTGAATCGCGTTGACATTGCTCATCAAGCTCTCAAGTCTTTCCAAAGTCTCACTCTCTCTCCAATTCTCGTATGCAGGCACTGGTTCTGCCACTACTTTGCTAATTATATTCGACGGATCGCTGTACCTCATCTCCATTGCTTTGTGCAGGTAAGTGTAGGCAGTTATTACACAGTAATTATCCTTATCATTGGCGAATGACGCGCCGAGAAGTTCGTACGCGTCAATAATCTCCTCTTTGGTAGCAACATTCTTAGATATCAAGCACTCGACTACATTGGCTCGAGTTCGCTCAGCTGCTGCCATCAGTGGTGTCATCCCACTGACGTTTTTAGTGACTAGTGTTCCGTATTTCAACAATTTGGATACAATGTGGCGATGACCACACTCTGCTGCGAAGTGAAGTGCTGTTGCACCACATAGTGCTTTCTCATTCGGATTTGCACCGTGTTCCAATAAAAATGTCAGCTAAATCAAATAATCTGTATTAGTTTATTATTATGCAAATGTCGCTGACATTTGCAAAGAATATTGGTTTTTAGAATCAATTCGTTTACGTACGATATCCATATGGCCCTTGTATGCAGCTATCATCAGACATGTATTATTGTATTTATTAGCTATGTGTATATCGCCTCCGTGGTCTACAAGGTAGTTGACTATATCCAACCTTCCATCGAAACACGCCGCCCTGAGTGGAGTTGAATTTGTATGTGTAGCGTGATTCACGTCCGCTCCGGCTTTCACCAGAGTTTTAACTACATTAAGATGTCCAGCGCCTAGATCAATTTATTAAAATATCTATTATTCATAATTGATATTTCATTCCAGGGGGTAATGAAAATTCAATATAATTGTCTGTAAAAAATCAAATATTGATCCATGAAATAATTTTCAAGACTTGAGGGACATACCTGCAGCACACCACAAGGCACTAGCTCCTTCAATAATATATCCATCAAATTTGACAGTGCCTCCTTGTTCTATGTCAGGTTCAAACTTATCCAAGAGCATTTTGACAACTTTATCATGGCCATAACGAGCTGCAACAATGAACGGAGTGCTCCTCTGTCCATCTTCATCTATGGATTTCTGCAAATAACATGTGAATTCTGAGACTCACAAGATACACGTGAAAAATGATAATATCCCAACTCGAAAAAGAGAGTCATTGCTTCCGCGTATTCCTTTGTCTTTGAACATGCGTAAAACCCGTTGGAATAGAGCCAAGGGCAAAAGCCCAAAGGATGGACATCACGTGTCGATTAAATTTATATCATTACAACAAAGAAATGGATAGTACAAATTCATACGTCAGTAATTTCTACAAATTTCTAAAATCAATCGAATGATTACGTATCGAAGAGCAGCAGCTAGTTTAGATGAGCATTGAGTGACACTCCCTATGGATCTATGTAACTTTAGTTTATCTGGATGGATGAATTTACCTCGTTTATAAGTCTATTCGCCTTTCTTCGAGATTCCTTCGCCAGATGAGCATAAAATGTCATTGACAGGCCATCCCTAGCCATGCAGTACACTCTCTGGAGTTCATCTGGATTGATTTCAGCCTCATCTGCCATCACTCTGATAAAAGATCAAAATGTCAACTTCACTCTGTTATTACTCAACAGCCAAGTCCTTAGATTTAGCACCAGTGGAGATGAAACTGCCACCTCAACAACACAAGTTGCTTGATTGCTGCTCTCTCATTGAAGCTCTAACCTCAAAAGCCACTTCCATCGTTCTATTTACGATATAAATATATGACGAGCTGTTATAGTCTTCTATTTCGAGTTAATTTAAACGGCAAAAATGTATCGATACTGGTAGTTGCAAAAATAGATATGCAGTGACTTGTTGGGACTGAGAACGTCACTCTTTCACAGAGTTTATCTTTTTCTCGTTGTTTCTTTGTTTTTGTTTTCCTACATTGGATTACCAACACCAACGCAAAACGAATTAAATATTGAAACTGCGTCTATCATTTAGATAATTTTTTTTCAGAGGAAGAACCGGAAATCTCCAGTATAATCATTGGTAAGAGTTAAGGATCTTCAGACTTTGTCTAACTTATATTTGCGTATGCCTATGAGAATAATTGAATCCATGTAAATATACACATGCGTGCTATGAATGCATTTACAGTTTAGCCAATGGCTATTTGTTGATCACTTTTTTTCTCATTAAATTAATTGACACATCAAGTTTTCAACAAAAATGAAGATCGCGCGACTACGGCATTTCGAATATTTGAATGGCCGATCTGTTAGTTTTTTTTTTCTTTTTTCTGTTTTGTATTTCATTGTGGAGTATCAATGTCAATATGAAACGGTTTGAATTGAATTGTAGACATTATAAAAATTATACATCAGCTAACGGAAAGTTACATTAATTTACCTTTTTTAGGGGATCGCCGTGGAATTTTGAATATATGAGTACTTTATTCAATTGGGGTAAAATATGGAGCTATCAGAATCTTCTACTATTGCCGAGCAAAAGCACTCGTGGATGATAAGTATAAAATGTATGAAGGAACGCCTGAAATTGCGGTGTGAGGAAGCATCTTTTGAAGGCATTCGTGAAATGAAATTATATCATGGATTGAAACTGATCTCTTCGGCACCGATAATCGGAAATTTTTTGGATATATGCTACTGTGACCATACCAAAGTAACTTCTTCGCCATTGTCTATTATTAATTTTTAACTTTAAACATCAATTTATTATTCGATAGGAATATCTTGTACTGGACACCAGTTTCATGATCCACAGATTCTCCATTCAGGGGAAGCCAGTGCAACCTTCCTTCAATTTAAGTACCACAATGGCTTTTACAAGATTTATCTGGTTTCCAGAAACGAAGGTTTTTGCAGGATTTGCACCCCACGATGATTTGATTTGGATATTAGAACCCTCGTGTAAATTGATACAAATCGTGAGAAACGAATTTCGAGTGGAAAATATTTTTTACACACCTTATACAAATGAAATGCTCGTCATTGGAACAACGAAGGCAACGGTAAATCTATTACATAGCGTGATCTCATTGAAATGTTAATAATATATAAGAAATTATAAGAACAGCTTATTCAAGGCATTTTACCTCATTCGGAAGATATTTCATTAAAATTCAGTGAAATATTTCCTGTATAAAATTCTTTCCTTGCTCAAAACATTAAGCGGAAAAACTTATTATCAACATAATAATTTTCACAAATAAACAAAATTATTGATTATTGATTTTATTGTATGAAATATGTTCCACTCGAATTTTTTGCTGAGAGATGTGCTGAAAATAAAGAGAAGATGAATTGTAATTCAATCAAATTCACTCAGAGATTTCCAATGGATCATAAGGAACAGACTCTAAATTCTTGGAAAACGGTAAATATCTCAGATAGTTCATTTGGACCCACATGGGTACTCGAATTGTCTTCTCTGATTCAACACGATCCGGGTAAGTTTAAATTAAATTTAAATTTAACTGAACTTATCCATATCTCAAAGATAAACCTCCAAAATTAACTTCAGAATTCTTGAGACTCGCTGGATCTTATCTCACTACTTTATACGTCATCCCCCTGACTTCCGACAAAGATGAAGAGAGTAATGTACCCGTTAAATTCTTAGCGAGAAGAATTAATTCAATGGAAACAGCGATTACCGTATTGTATTTCCATCCCACGAGTCAATGGATAATCACTGGTGATCAACGTGGAAGTATTTGTGCGTGGAATTTGAATTTAGAATGCATGATGAATTGTCCCACTGGTCATCAAAAGGCTGTGAAAATTATCACAGGACATCCTTCCATATGCGGCTTCATTTCTTGCGCTGAAGACGATATAATTCAGGCTTGGAGCTGCAATCTCAGAGAAAAGGTGCTCTATGGTGAATTTTTCTTCTATATGTTAGTTATTTATTTTATTAATTTTCAAGATTGAATCGTTCAGCGAATTAGGAGAAGTTTCCTTAATAGCGATAAATAGTTCAGCTTCTTCAGTTGCTGCAGTTGGAACTAAGCTGAGCTGTTTTCAAATGCATCAACTTTATACATTCTACTCACCATTGACGTATGAACTAAAATGACAAGATCGTAATAATTTCAATAACCGTTGGGTGTATATTTGATAATCCAATTTTTATTTTAGATCAAACCCCGTGATACTATTCTCAACGACAAGTCCAATTGATGCCGTTCGGGTGATTATCTTCAGCGCTGATAAAATCGTCAGAATACTGTCGTCTTCGTCCGGCAAACAGCTCAATATTCATATCCTGCCAATTACCTTTACAGTTGTTTCTATAGCTCATAGTGATATTACAGGTATTATTTGTCCCTAGGAATCATCTCGGTTGTAAAAAATTCACCGTTTAATTATTTTGAATACAGACCGAATGTATGTACTGGGAACCAACGGAATTGTGGTGGCTAGCACAAAAACTAATCCTATGGAAATTGAGTAATTTTTCGATTTTTTTGGTACATATGTACAATACCATCCTCACATTAAAATGTGGAAAACCTTGACTAGGTCGAATAATGTCCAACGCTAGTATGATTAAGATTTAATAACATATCATGCATTTCGATTTATAATTTAAAAAATTTATATATTCCTCTAGACGGGAGGAATAGAAGAGTAGTCTCGTAAATCTACACAAGTACTCATTACAAAAGACGAGATCACTCGAAATAATATAAATTCGAAAAGAGGCGACCTAGGCAACGTGCGATTTTGTTGAGGTTGGTGAAGTACATTTGCACGATTTTTTTCTCATTAAGTTTGAGTGCTGATTTTTCTTTAATTGTAACATATAATATCTATTTTGTAACAGAGAGGAATGGGACAATGCTAGTAAAATTATCACATGCCTCCTAGTATACGATCATTACGAAGCAATCCGTACATCTGCCCATGAAATTGAAAGTAAGTCAAAAAAAATTTCACATATTTCCGTATATGATCCTCTATTCATTGAATAGGATCGAAACTCGTCAATCCTATTTGTGCACGAATTATTATTGGAACTCAAGCTGGAGAATTAATATTGATCGACGAGACCAGCGGGGAGCAAGGAAGTTCAATTTCAGTACGTTTGGCATGTTTGCTGACAAATTCTATGACGATTATTATTGTTATTTTTATTATTCCACATCAACATCGACAATATGGTATTGATAGAAATTTTTCACATAAATTATCCAGAAATTTTACTTCATAGGAAGGATAATATGATAATACTGTGTACCAGTCTCGAAATTTTCGTTAATAATCCCTCTCCTCCGAAAAATATAGCTAAATAAGTATTTACAGGCACATGACGGGGCAATAATTCACTTGTGCTCCTCGATAATCTCTCGTCAAGTTGTATCAAGTAGTATAGATAAATCTATAAAGATTTGGAGAATTTTCCCAGACACACTAGTGCCATTGACGATTTTGCATCAAATTTATTACACCACTCCAATTTCCAACATTGGATCTATCGGGTGAGTATTAATGGACAGTTTTCTTTGAAACGTTGACAGAAATAAACATTTCTTCAAAATAGATTCACGATTTGTGTGGTGAGTAGTGCAGAATCGTCCGAGTGTCATCAGTTATTCATGTATGACACAATAGAGAGAAGTAAGAGCGAGGATTAAATTCTCCAATTGCTCGAATGCAGTAATAATTTCCATTGCAGGACAATTACAGCACCACCCGTCGAAAGATCATGTTAAACAAATTCTTGCTCTTGATACATTGGAGTCCCTTCAGATATGCGTTACGTCGTCCATGGATGGTACCCTACGCATTTGGGATCACCATAATGATCTCGTCAAGGTTCTTTCATCCAAAACTTTTCATTACCACAGGAAAGCCGGGGTAAAATTATTATTAAATTACCACTGAATTTCATATTTCCAGGTACTGGAAATAAACGTTTGTACAAGCCAAATAACATTTTCTTCCCTCCTCGGAGATATTGTTTTCAGTGCTGGGAAACATCTGTACCGTCTCCCTTACGAAAATTGTAATCATGAGTTTGAGGTTTCCATTTTAAAGAAAACCCTAATTATAACAATTAACAAATTCATATAATTGAAAAAACAATGCGACAAAACAAGCAAGGATTTGAATATTTTTTTATGTGAATTTCACAAATGGAGATTTTTCTCTCCACAGATTTGCCGCCGAAATATCGTCTGCAAATTTCATATAATGAAATGAATAAGGAAGAGGAAGAACACATTTCCGATGCATCTGAACCTATTGATCAATATCTAGAAATTGAGGAGCAGATCCTGCATCCTGTCAGTAGTGTTCCCCTTGGTTCATTAGATCCCACGATAGAAGCTCCAAGCCTTGATCAAATATTCAAGGAACAGATATGCATGCAATTGAAATACAGAGACGAAGGTGAGTACATTGATGAATTTATGATTCAATCGATTATTAAGGCCTAATTTTTTATCACTGCAGACATTAAACGAATTCAAGAGAATATATTACATGCGAAAAAAGTTGTAAAAATGAAAACATTGATGGAGCACCTGGATTGGGAGAGACACATCGCTGAATTGTTAGGTGTTTCTTCAAAAACTGAGAATGAATCCAGTCCACATGATATTGCTAATTATGCAGAGAGATATGAGAAAATTAAGAAAGTTTTTAATAAGTCACAACGATCGCGCATGATTGGTAACTCGAGAAGTAAATAATTATTTAACCGAGACAGTGTCTAGACCATGCTCTGCTTTTAATTTAGGGTGTAGCATAAAACAGTTTTCTGACAGAGAGAAATTTGTTTCCGAGATTAGTGGGTCTAGTTTAAATCTTGGTGGTTTCGTGCCGAATTCACTAGTCATTAAAATCGCTGACGGAAGAAATAAAGAAGTTGATCAACTTGAGACTCATCAACCTATGGAAAAACGACAGATAAAATACGTATATCCCTCAGAAATCTATCTAACCATCGACTCTTCAACGTCTAAAGATTCCGTTAAACATACCCATCAAGACTCACTAGAAGGGGTTTTATGAGGTAAAATATTTTATTAATGACATGATTAAATGAATAGATGATTACAATTCAACGATTCAGACGCACTTCATTCATTTCTTTCTTGTTACGAATTTTTATATAAATGTTAATATACACAATATCGACTATGTGTCGATTTTTCCTGGGGTAAAGAGTGACTCGGTAGGCTCTATAATCTACGATGAATATATATGTACGAAAATATATATTATAAAAAAAAATATGGTAAAGAGTCTATTCCTTCGAACATCTTCGCATGAAAAAAACCAGTTAGAGAAAAATAACTGAGTAAGTCTAGTAATAGTCGGAAAAATACCATTTTCATCCTTTTATACTCTAAGTCGGGTAAAATGTGCGAGACGAATAATCTATTGCACGTGCGGGTAACTTTGTTCCGAAGCTGTAAAATTTACCCTGAATTCCATCAAAAAATATGCCAGTGAACATGAATGTACCTGAAAGTACTCGATATTGCATATAATTTTTCTAACAAACGCACCTATGCATTTTTGGTAAGTCCTAAAATCCGTCAATTCTTGTGTTCACTTTATACTCAAATATTCCGTACTCCATCGCCTCAAACATGCGATACAAAAATAAAATAATTATCCTAGTAAGAGAACATCTCTTTGCCCCTTGTAAAATCTTGAATGTAATAAATTCGCAATATCCATTCTCGTTAATTGGGAGATTCAGGAGTGCGGAAGAATTGAAAAGAATTTTTTTTAAACGATACAGAAAGAACTAACATATTCCATTATCCGCAAATACGATTTAAATTGTTCGGTGTCACCGGTAAAAATCTTTTCTGAAGTCTCTTTACTTTCTCTGCTACTCTCTCAGTTTTTCCATTTGCTAAATCGACTACTTGGCAGCAGCATTTCACTTTTTTCTATCTTTTCAGAATGAATGGAGACAAATTCATTAATAATCGGTTCTTCTTGGAACTGGATAACGAAGCACAAGAGCACTGTCGGCAGATATAATTGGAAGAGCGTTGTCGCAGTGGTGATTCACGAGGTGACTAACACTGTCAAAAATTCGATCCTTTGTTCGAACCTAAATAAAAAAAAATAGAAATATAATTTGATGAGAAAGTCGACTGCCAAACAGAATAGATTAATATAATCATTTCATTTTTTCACTACTAATTCTACAAGATTGACTTACAACTCCCTCAGGGTCGATTAAAAGTAAATGCTTAGGAGTTCCGTTATTCATCCCCGTTAAGACGTACTGCCCTGGTGATCCCTGAGATTCGCGAACCAAAAAATCACCATCTTTAGTCAACATTGATTCTGCCTCAGATCGGCTAACACTTCCGTGGTACCAAACCTCCATTTTCAGCTGGTGCTGTTGAGATCGCGGACTCAATTTATTCATCTCTGATATCGCAGTACTGAACGGCTCTGAAATATTGAATTCATTCGTTCCAGTTAAGTTCGGATGAATTTGAATTAGAATCCTTATTCTTTTCAATACTCACGCATGTCAAATGCATCAAAAAGCGAAGAGGGCTCCCGACGATTGTCGCGGCTCGCCGCTATCACCGTGTCATTGACATAATTGTGCTCTGATTGAGCAGATGCCGCACCGTCTGAACTCAAATCAATTAAGTTACCGGTTTCTGAAAAAAAAAACTTTTTCTTAACGTCTTCACCTCATTATAGTTTCTTTAGCTCAATCTTAAAAAACTCGCTCAATTTTTTTATCTACAAGGGTCATTTTTCTCGATAACTAGAGCTACAATATGATTGTTTAAAGGGATATATATATATATATATATATATATTCTTTTCAATACAGGGCTACGTAAATGATATGTGATAAACTAGTGACTAAAACATAGTTAAAGTGTTTGAAAATGTTTTTCGACGAGAAATTAAAATGGTAGAGTTAGAATAAATGTAAATGTCTTACCAGGCCACTGTTGCCCAGCGGTATGTCGTCCGCGGCCATTGATGAATGGATCAGGCAATGGTGTACACTGAATATTATTCGACACCGTGTGATTCTGAGGTGGATGATGATGTTTCAGATTGGGAAGAGTAGAAGCCGTGATAGGAAGTGGGGGCACTGGTGGTGGTCCGATGTCTGGAGGTACTTTTCCTGGCAGATCGTTGTAGTAGTCCCTGTCTGGTTCTCGAATTCCATTCAATACAGGGCTGAGCCACAGAAAAAATTATGTGGGTATTAATTAAATTCCTCTTAAATTCTGTTGGGAATTCGTGCATTTTTTTCACACAATTTTCTCTTAAAATCACGTATTTCTCTCCGAAAAGGACTTAATGAAAATTATTTAGATAAATTCCACTATAAACGGCGAGGAAAAGATAATCTAATGTCAATGGAATCAGTATGAATTTTTGATATGTGTACATTACAGTTGTAATCCTTACTGTAGTGAGGATGGTTTTGTCAGAAATTCTTTGAATCTCAATTCAAATGCTTGACCAATTGTCGATATGACGTCTTGCGCCAGACCGCCGCCACACTCCAGCACATAGCAAGCTCGCCATTCCTGCATGTTTTTTGCTACGTACGCGACAAAGTCCAGTATCTCCTAGAATGATGAAGACCTTTTCAAATAAAATTGCATTCTCTTCTCCTTTCACATTATTTACCGTGTCGCCACCGGAGGCAAACGAAATCCTCGGCATTTCATGCTTGGCTATCACATGACCAGTTTCAAGGGTTGTCAGTGCTAAGCTGGTACTGCTGATTGTTAGATTTATATTGGAACCCGCATGCTCCATGCAAGGCTTATCAGCAATTGCTCGCAATACTTTTCTGTCCACCTAGAGAAAAATTCTCAATCAATGCCGCCAATTTAACTCTTCAATAAGAAATGTAACATACCCGTCTTTTTTTGTCTGCAGATTTTAAACCTGCTGCCTCGCAAACTCGATTGATGCACTCTCTGCAACCAAAAAAAATCATCCTTCCTCATATTTCATTCACACAACATTATTTTGACGAATAAAGCCCTTATTCACGATTAATTCCCTGCGATATACGACAAACATGTAATTTTTCCACAACATTGTAAAATACTAAAAACTCCATTTTGCCCAATTATCTGATTCCACATCGTTAACACAATTTGGTTTTACAATGAGTGGATCCCATAATCACATGATTGGAATGTGAAATATCAATTGGCCAAAATCCTATCGTAAAATGCGATTTGTCCTGAAGAGGTTACCCCACAGCATTTTATTTTCTCTTTACAATGATGTTTCAATATGAAATGAAGTTTGAATGGTACCTACTTGGCTACACATGAGCGTGTCTCAAAATCCAAACTCTTCATCGACGTGTAGACCTCCAGACATCCAATGTACTGCAACATAAAATCAATTGATGACTAAATATAATTATCTTCCCAATGCCCAGTGATTCGTACCCGCACAGCATAAGTGATACCCTCCTTGCTGACCAAATGATCCGGGTGGAGCCATCCTCTGGCCGGTTTGCTTATAAAGCTCCCACTGTTCCCACTGGCCATCGCTGCATTCCAATCTAAAATTAAAAATATGTTATCATGATCAATCAATAAAATACAGCAAGTTGTGTGGGGAGTGGCCAGATCATCAAAAAAAATGTCAACTATAAACTATCGTCTATCTGACTAATCGCTAATTATCAATGATTCAAACCAAACTCACATGATACTTTCTGCTTGATTCACTGAAATTCCCTTGAAACAGTCGATGAAAAGGTGCTTTCAAAGTCTCTAGTGAAAGGTGCTATTTTTTTTTACATACGTTGAATCCAAAAGGGGAATTATCAACGCCCATAGACAATTATCGTTTAAACATTTAATCCTCAATCATTATCAAACACTTGATAAACAGAACACTAAGTTTGTTGTCAGTAATTGAGTCTCATTGTTTTATCCCAACAACAACACTTGAAAAATCGGAGCAGCAATTGTTTATATTCACCGAGTATAAACTATCGACAATGCATTCAGTTTCATTGAAAAACAACCGAGTCATCGATACTAACCCGCTAAATAACTAGTTGTATATTCATATATACAGTGATATAGCCAGTACTCCTCTGTGGTCAGACAAAAATCCAAATACACATCCGTACCACAACGATAGGCGTCAAAGGGATTTGACAGCTGATACGAATGGATGACACATTCCAGGGGCACTTGTGCGCATGAACGGATATTCCGGGTGTGAGATTTGCTTGTGTGATGGCTCTCGAGAATTTTCACTGTACACTCGAAAAAAAGAAAATAAAAATCCTATCTATAAAACGTAATACACCAAAATTAAGTTGTCGAGAGAGTAAGATTTCGGCCAACTTCATGCATAAGACTTTTCACGTAACCCTATTTCTCGTTGGCCATTCCGAATAAAACGCATTTCTCATGGGTCAATTGACTATATCATCAACAATTCAACACAACGGGATCAAGTGGCGCGCGTTCGATCTGTAGAGAAAATAATGCACATGCCTGCATAAGCGTTTGTTATTTCGGTATTTGGCGCTACTATCGAACTTATTCCAGGTTATTTTATCATTAATATTATTATAAATAAAGATTATCAGCGTGCTAATTGTTAGTTATCACTGCACTGTTGCCATTATTACAACATGATTGATTTTTAATTCTGTAGGCCAAGGGAATTGAACGGTCTGATCGTCACGATCATACGTCGTTCAATGAATATAAATAATGAACTGTGAAACAACTAGGTTAGTTTTTGATAGTTCTTGAAGAATAACAGGACGAGGATTATTATTTCTAATGGACAGTTTCAATTGTAGGAAAGTCATAATGATAGAATTAAGAAGGTGAGTGAAACTTAACCTCACAGATTGCTGTGGCATAAGGATATTACAAAGAAATAACAATGACGGAAAAGGAGAAGGATGTAAAAGAGGGAGGTGAAGATCCTCCAGCCACGGAAAGTCTTCCCCCGGAGGAATTGACTGAGGATGACAGACAATTTCTCATGGACTACATCAAGGAAGTGGAACAGAGACTGAGCGTTAAAGAAGAAATCCGTTCTGCTAATCTCAATCCAATGAGACCACCGGACTCGTTTTTTAGTAAACTCGATTCAAATCTCAAAAAGAACACAACCCTCGTGAAGAAACTAAAGACATTAAGTGGAGTTCAGGTAGATCAGCTCCTTAAAGACATGAGTAATTTGAATTTGACAAAGTATATAAGCGAAATAGCCACGGCCCTAGTTGATGCTAAACTCAAGATGACGGATGTTCAGCCAGCGATAAAAGTCTGCTCATTCCTCCATCAGACGTATGCGGAATTCTCCAGTCATTTTTTTGAGAATTGGCAGAGGGTTCTGAGTCTTAAGGTAGGGGATAAAATCGCCAATCCTAGCAAACTCAGAGTCGACCTCAGGTTTTACGCTGAATTGGTGAATGCTGGGATTTTCACCCACAAACAGGGTCTCTCTCTTCTTGGCTCTGTGCTGACCGTTTTGATAAATATGGACAAGGAGGAACATAACAATGCCAGCATTATACTGAGCTTTTGCCGTCATTGCGGTGAGGATTATGCCGGGCTGGTACCACGACGTGTTCGGCAGCAATCAGATAAGCTCAATATTTCGGTACCAAAGAGTAAATTGTTGGGACCGGATAAACAGCAGAATGTACGTGCTCTATTACGGGAATATTACAACTCGCTGTGTAAACACGTGTTGAAGGAGCACAAAGAATTACAGGCATTTGAGAAGCAGAATAGGAAAATTCTCCAGACAAGGGGAGAACTCAGCTCGGAGAGGAAGGAGAAGTTTGAAACTCTTCAGCTTTCCTACGAGCGTTTGACGGCAAGTGTCCAGAATTTTGCAGAAACTCTCGATGAAGTAATTCCAGAGCTGCCAATCGACGCTGAAATCAAAGCGGATACTGAGGAATCTCTAAAGATGATCAGCGAGGGAGAAGAGAACAATATGATAGAGGACATGTGGGGGGACGAAGAGACGAGAAGGTTCTATGAAGTTCTCCCTGATCTTACGGTCTTTTTACCTGGGGCTTATCTTAAGGAAGTCGCCAAACCAGAAACGCCCATCACTGAGGAAGCTCTCGACGAGGAAATAACGTTCGATGAGCTCGAGGACATTGATAGGGTCGAGGAGACAGAGGCTGAGGTTGAGGAGCCCCAGGTGGCCAACATCAGTAATAAAATTCTGCTTGATGCCTTTTTGACTCATCTTCCTAATTGTGTGAATCGAGAGATGATCGATAACGCTGCTGTTGACTTTCTCATTAATTTAAACACCAAGCACAATAAGAAGAAACTCATAAAAGCTCTCTTCGGAGTTTCCAGAATCCGCTTGGATTTGTTACCATTCTACTCTCGAATAGCTGCTATTCTCCATCCTGTGATGCCAGATGTTGGGAATGAGCTGTGTGCAATGCTGAAACAAGATTTTAAATACCATGTGCGGAAAAAAGATCAAATTAACATTGAGTCCAAAGTGAAAGTAGTTCGGTACATTGGGGAACTCGTAAAGTTCAAGCTTTATTCGAAAATTGAAGCCCTCTACTGTCTTAAAGTTCTACTCCACGATTTCACTCATCATCACATTGAAATGACGTGTAATTTACTAGAGACCTGCGGTAGATTTCTATTCTGCTCCATAGATTCTCATCAGAGGACAAACGTTTATCTGGAACAAATGATGAGGAAAAAAGCAGTCACGGCTTTGGATTCAAGGTACGTAACAATTATTGAAAATGCGTATTATTTTGTTAATCCACCGGAATCCACTGGTGGTATAATGAAGAAAGAGCGTCCGCCGATGCATGAATTCATACGGAAGCTCTTGTATCAGGATTTGTCTAAGACAAACACAGACAAGGTTCTCAAGTGGATGAGAAAATTGGATTGGGATAATGATATCATCTCTTCATATGCAATAAAGTCTCTGACAGCTGCGTACAATGTCAAATACCTGAACATACGATGTGTTGGGAGTCTTCTCGCTGGATTAGTGGCTCACTACGAGGCCATCGGGCCGAGTGTCGTTGATGGTGTCCTCGAGGACATTCGACTCTGCATGGAGATCAATCTTCCTAAATATAACCAACGGCGCATTGCAATGGTGAAATACCTCGGTGAGCTGTACAATTACAGAATGGTGGAGAGTGGAGATATATTCAGAACTCTCTACCTCCTGATTACTTTCGGGGTGAGCATGGATCATAATTTACCGAGTGTCCTCGACCCACCAGATCACCTCTTTCGACTAAGGCTCGTGTGTACATTGCTTGAGACCTGTGGCCAGTACTTCAGCGGTGGCTCCAGTAAGAAGAAACTCGACTATTTTCTCATATTCTTTCAGAATTACTACTGGTACAAGTACTCAGATCCCATTTGGACGACGGACAATCCCTTTCCAATCGGCATTGATTACATGTATCACGATACCCTCGCTATGCTCAGACCAAAAATCCAACTCTTCCAAAGTTTTAAAGAAACACAAGCCGCCATCGACGAGCTGAAAAACACACTTTATCCAACGTTAGACACTGCTAAGAGAGACATGGAACGAGTTGAGGGTGATTCTGATATGGCCACTATTCCAGAAACTGACGAAGATCAGCCTGCCGTCATTGGTGATCTTCACTTCGAGGAATCTGAGGATATCTCCGAGGCACACTCTGACGAGGAGTGGATGGATCCTGAGAGAGATGATAATCATGGAACTGGAGAGAATACTCAGGGTGAGCAGAGTCTCTCTCAGGGAATGAGTGAGGGAGTTGTTCTAGATGCCTCGGAGTTAAATGCTGCACTCCCTGCAGGACCCAAACGTGTCAGTTGTCCAGAGGATGATGACTTCCTCTCTGCTCTCGATAAGATTGTTTCTGATAATATTCAGGATCGAATGAGGGACAATGTCAAGCCCCAGCAAGTCGATATTTCTGTTCCCATTCATGTTAAGAGTACTAAGAAAACATACGAACAGCTCCAGGAAGGTCCATCCGACAATTCTACGGTAGATTTTGTTCTCATGGTTAGGAAGGGTAACAAGCAGCAGTACAAGAGCCTTGCAGTTCCAGTTTCTTCTGAATTAGCTAAGAATCTACGCAATCGAGAGCAGGAGCAGAAGGAGGAAAAAGAACGTGTAAAGAGATTGACATTGAATATTACTGAGAGACAGGAGGAAGAGGATTATCAAGAGACCATTAACCAAGGAACAAGACCAGTTACAGTGAATCTTAATCGTGAGAGAAGGCAAAAATACAATCACCCCAAAGGTGCACCAGATGCTGATCTCATATTTGGCCCCAAAAAAATTCGCTGACCAATTACTCCATTGATTGTTCCGTCTGCCTTTTATAAGAAGCACGAAAAATTTAATTTTCTCATTATCAGCCAACTTCCATAAATTTCCAAATAGTCCTCATGCATATTGTGTATATGTTATACTTTTAGTTGATGGCAATGATTGATTTTCTCATTAACTAGATACATCTTCTAAAAATCGTCCAATTAACACGTATTCATTTCCCAAACTGAATCGTTTTCATCTATGAAACATCAATTAATTGAATTTCAGTAGGATTTATGTGTATTCCATTCAATCTCCTTCAGTCAATTACTGAACATAATTAGTAAAAAGTCTGTGATTACTGCTTGTAGGCCAAATCCACTACAAATAGCTCGTCAATAAATTCCACTTTAAAACCATATATTATCAAATGCAGAAAATTAAATCGGCAATTCGGGAGTAAAAAATTTCATCGGTTTATGATTAATGTTTATTTCTATGAAATTATTGTATTGCCATGTACAAAATGAATATAAATAAAGTTTTAGTGCTTGGAGGATGGCGAGTGTATGTTACTACATGCTCACTGACGTTAGCTAATACGAATGCATTGTGTGAATGTATTTTCTTATAGTCAGCAATGTTGGAAATCAGTGTTAATAGAACCTAAATGCATATTTATTATAGCCCTTGTTCTCTGGATTACTTTTCTATGGCATTTTACGGTTCTTCTTCAGCATCCTCGAACTGGGCAGCCTCAATATCCATCGCTTCCTCTGAGTCATTGCCATTATGGTTTCCTATTGATTGATCTGGAAAAAAAATATTTGATTATTCATTCTGTAAGTAAATAGAAGGGCAGACATCCGGTATCAAATAGTAAATGAAATTAATCGATTTCCTTTTTACCTGAAGGTAAAATATAAGATGCATCGCCACCTCCAACTTCGTAGTATTCGAAATCGTCTTCTTCCTCAGCGTCTTCATAGATATCTTCTTCAGCTGGAGAAAGAATTGAATTTAAAGCGAGCAGACAGTCATGTGGCTGTTTTACTTTTTGTTTTTTTCTTTAAGGATGAATATGGGGAAATAGTGAAAACAATTTTCTGTCGTTGTTTTTACCATCGGAAAAACTGTCCTGCGGGTCGGGGTGAAGTTCTTGACATTGATTCATAGCATGAAACATCGCATCAAGGTTATTAACATTATCTGGTGCGAATCTCATTTCGGTAAGAGGTATTTCGGAATCATCGTCCTCTCCGGAGTCATCTTCATTTTGATCAAGTTGAACATTCGAAAGAAAAACTTACATTAAAACACGTGTAATATGCAAAAAATGAAGAATAATGTGAAATTGATTTACAGATTTACCTTCTAGATCAAGTTTAGTATCAATCATAATATAGAGACACTGGCGCGGATGGACCACCTGATCTCGCGATATTGCGTGCAATGAGATATTTGGATACTGCAGGGCAAAACCTTGTTGAGTTGAACTTTCAATCCATGCCAGGACACTAGGCAAAATACAGTATTATCGATATTCCCTGAATAACTAAATGAGATAATCACTTGTATTTACCTTTCAGTTATGTAAAGAGTGCCCTTTCCAATTTCTCTGTCACTCACATAAACCGTAGTGTTTTGTTCCTCGTGCCTGACTCCTTCTTGAGGTGCGAAGACATTGCTCAAAATAACCATGTTTCGTCGTCTACATAACACGAATGAACAACAAATTAAAGAACCACAGTTAGTCCTCACATAAGCCAAATTTCTGAGATTTAAACAAATTAGAAAATCGTGATATTGGTGAAGGGGTATACCAGTCTAACTCTGATTACGGTGATTCACTTGACTTCATGCCTGTCGAAGCCAAATAAAATAAAAATAGTCATGTGAATGATAATTACCTCCTGCAGTCCTTAAAATTTTCCGAATATCACAGCAAAATGCACCCTCGTACTTCCCACAATTTAGCGATTACGTTTTTCACCCCTGACTACAAAGAATGATGCAAATAAAGCAATGAAGTAAATGAACCAAATGAAGCTTGCGAATTACGAAAGCTTACTGTACTACTGGTGTAATCAACACTTTCACCAACAGGATATTTTCTCCTTCAAGTTCAGTCAGATCAAATAGATGATCAAAACGAGGAATATGTAACGGAGTGACAATCGTTCGTTAACCGAACGCTCGTCTGTTGACACTAGACTCGTACAGAAGAATCAGCGATCAGCAGGTTTTTACTTTTTTAATTCGTTCATGCATATCGTGTATGTGTAGTGTGTGTGGTTATCACTTCAGAGAGCAGCACCGGACGGAGAGCACATAACAGAATTGACAGTTGTTGATTGTCGCTCCTCATAGTAGTAATCGATTCTCCAAATCATTTAGCAGCTATTAACCATTTTTAATTAAAAAAAAAAATTTTTTTGGCTCAGCTTATGTCATAAGTTAATTAATTTATAATAAAGAAACTAATTTTCCCGAAATTTTAAAGCAAAATTATAAAATATTTCGAAACCATCTTTAAATGAATAAACATAATTGATTGTTCATTTGTTAAGTATAGGGTAGATTTATTCCTATTTTTAAAATACTCCGCGTGTATGTTTCGCTGAATCAGCACCCTCTGTCTGTGAAACGGCACTGTGCACCTCAAAACGGGTTTTGATATCAGTAGAGGCTCTTTGGTTGTAAATTCCATCCATTTAGTATTTTGTTTTTATATAGATCGATGTTTATAATTTTTGTTTCGTCCTTGGGACCATGCATTATTTTCTGTTCCGACCTACAGCATTAAAGCGAAAGTGATTCGTCATTGATCCAGGTAAAATTATTCAATCCTCAATTATTCAAAATATCCTGAACCTATATATAATAAGTAATAACATGTACCATCCAATGTAGACACAAGCGAAAAATTATTCTAACATTTTGCGTTACAGACGTAATAATTTCCAGTAATGGCTGATGCAGATCACGAAACGAAAAAGTCATCTCGAAGAAGGAAACGTGGGTCAGGAAAGTACCGGAAGTTGGTGAATGAGATCAGCAGATTAGTCCAAAATGAGATCCAAAAGTGTGGGAAACAATGCAAAGGTGAGGAATTAACGAAAAATGAATGTACTCCAATCTTCAACCAGTCGGAGAATCAAGAAACTGAATTAAAATGCCGGATACGCCGGAGACGCCGGAGACGTCGGAGAGCAAAGAAGATAGAGATGGAAGAGTCGGCAACGAAGACTAAAACTTCACGCGACAGCAGCAATGATCAATCACCCTGCAATTCCAATCCAAGCAAATGCGTTACTGATATATCGATATCAAAAGACATCAAACGCATCCTTATCGATATTTCAAAGATGGCAATCACCAGGCTGGACCCGCGTGATTCTCCACAGTCACTGCGAGGGATCAACACTTGTTCAGAACTCAGTCCTCAGAACTTCGCATTTCCCAAGTCAATCAAGCGAGAGAGGATGAGGGAGATACTAACCGAAAAGTCCCAGGCCTCACAAAGGTACACAACAGGAGTCTTGAAAGTCAACAATAAGAATCCAAAATATTCTTACGTGTCCAGTGCAAACAATGATGAGGATATCCTAATCCATGGCTACTGCGACAGGAATCGTGCAATGGAGAAGGACGTTGTAGTGATTCAGATCCATCCCGAGGACAAGTGGATACACACAGCTGATGGCACAGTCCAGAAAACTGCCTTTATCGTATCCATTCTCGAGAAAGTCCACCCCAGGACGGCAATTGGTATTCTAGTTTATCAGAAAGAAGTCCTGAAGTTTCATCCAAGAGATCCCAAGTTCCCAGTCATGACGATCGATCCACAAACACTCCCAGATAAATTCAAGGAAATGAGTAATATAAAGAAAACACTATTCATTGCGAAAATGCTCAACTGGTCGACGCCGTCTCAGTGTTCAGGAAAAATTTTGGAAAAAATCGGGGACGCTGGAGATCTGGAGGCAGAGACTCAGGCAATACTCCTTGAGAATGGCTTAGACGTAACTCCGTACGATGAGGCACTGTACAAGGACTTTCCAGGCCCGGATTATGTTTTTCAAGAGACTGATCTACATGGAAGGGAGGATTGGAGGGCGAATTGCGTATTCACGATTGATCCAGCTACTGCTGTCGATCTAGATGATGCTGTGTCATGTAGAAAACTTGACAATGGAAATTTCCAAGTTGGTGTTCATATTGCTGATGTTACCTATTTTCTGGAAGCTTCTTCGCCACTTGATAAAATGGTGTCAAAACGAGCCACCACAATCTACCTTGCCAATACTGCCTACCACATGCTGCCAAAACCCCTTTGTCAACTGTGTTCTCTTCTACCTGGAAAAAACCGCCTAACATTCTCGGTAATCTGGGAGTTGACACCCACTGGTGACGTAGTGAATCATCGTTTTACACGCAGTATCATCAACTCCTGCTTTCAAATGTCGTACCAGCAGGCCCAAAGGATGATAGACAAGCCAGACCTAGACTGGTCAGAAGTCGATCTTCCTAACATACAAAATGGTTTCACGGCATCTGACATCTCCCAAGCAGTCAACGACTTGTTCTCCATCGCAAACTCACTGAGATCAGGACGATTCGAGGGTGGAGCGTTAAAGATTGACCAACCAAAAGTCCAGATTATTTTAGACGAGGCAACGAGGCTACCAATATCTTACTGCCTCGAGGAACGACTCGAAAGTAATAATCTCATAGAAGAATTTATGCTCCTTGCCAACATGACAGTGGCCAATCACCTCCACAAGAAATTCCCAAAAACTGCCCTCCTTCGTCATCATAATCCCCCTAAATTGCACACTCTATCCAAGACTTTGCACCCTCTAAAAAATTTAGGGGTTCACCTGGATACAGCGTCCGCTGGAACACTCCATACGAGTATATCAAAGTGCGAACAGGCAATTGAGAAAGGACAGGCATATACTGAAGAGGAGTTTGTTGCCAATTGTAGGATGATGGTGATAAACTCGCTGTGTGCTCAATCAATGGTAAGAGCTAATTATATTTGTTCTGGAACTGTGAAGACAAAATCTCGCCTGAGGCATTACGCCTTGAATGTTCCTCTCTACACGCATTTCACGTCTCCAATCAGGAGATACGCTGATTGCATTGTCCACAGATTGCTAGCCTTTGATCTCGAAAACACTCCATTGCCGAAAGACTGGAGCTCTGAATTATGCGCTAATCTAGCGAAGAATTGTAACAAAATGAAGGACAGTGCCAAATCTGCTCAAGAGAAGAGTAATGAAATTTATTTCATTAAGTTAATCGCTCACACTGGAGCGACTGGACAGCTCGCCATTGTTATGACTGTTAGACAGCACAATCTTGATATTATTCTGTGCCATGTAGGGCTGACACTTAAAGTTGAGCTGTCTGAGACTCAAAATTATGCAACTGTTGAGTATACTAATGATGATTCTGTTGGCACTGTTAAAATTCTCTGGAAGGAGCCAGAAGTGACACAAGTCATCAATGTATTTACCATCCTCAATGTTAGAGTGAGGAAGCATCCAAAAGTTTATGGAATACAGGCGACTCTCATACCTCCAGAAATCAATTACTGATTTTTTTCGTTCAATGCTTAGATTCTGTCCATTTTTGAGAGATATTTATTTGTTGGATTTTTCGCAATATTCAGGAAGGTTTCCGTTGAAAATGTTTTGGAGCTGACAATTGTAATATTCCGTAATCAAATTTATTTTTTGTATCATTGTGCAGAGAAAGCATCTATGAATTAGCAGACAAACAAAAAGATTGTTGATGAGAATGATGACCTCTATATTATGTGAATAAATATATCAATCATGAAAATAAAGAGAATTTGATTCCATTACATTTTTTTATTATTGATAACTAAAATAAATTTACACGTTTTTCTTTCATACATGCATCTCTGGTCTTCAAATACAAGGGAACATTCTTTGAAAATTAATGAGAGAAAGAAGTAATAATAAAAATACTGGTTCCATTTATTTCGCTTTGATTATTATATTATTTTGAATTCATTTCTTCTATTTACACGAGGGACTATCCATTTCTACATAAATCGTGTACCTATGGTACAATTTCATGCGAAATTATTTGTTTCTGTATAAACGAAAGAGAAGAAAATCAGGTCATTTAAGGAAAATTTTATATATTTTATTTCTACTAACTTTACTCAAAATTTCCATTTCTGTTTTTTTTGCCCCCTTAACTAGCAAATATAGATAAAATTCTTACCATAAATTTTGAGTACTTCTTTGTTGTTTACGATAAATAAATTCCCATAAAATTATTCTGGGATAACCGGGCTAACTATGATTTACAATTACCTCGGCTCTAGTTAACTGGTTTACACAGCTTACATCATTCAGGAGGAACAAGTGAGAATATTTGATTTTCAAGATCATCCTAAGAGTGGAAGTTTTTCCCAAGTTTATTTTTTCTAAGTAATCAGGGAGTAGATCGAGCATATGCAGTCCAATTATCATACCAATTACCTTTATCATAAATTTATTACAAAAAATTGCAGTTGTGCGATAAAAATCAAATCAAATCCTCCCACATACCGGCATTTTTTCAATCTCAAAACTTTTTTAATTCGAATCCATTTTTGTAATATTATGCAAAATAATAAGAAAGCAAAATTGGAAAACGAAAACAGTCTTTCTGATTTATTCAGCATCATCTACATAAATATATTAGTTCTATTAAAAATTGAAATGGTCAACGTAAAGTTATGAAATCCCCTTCGATATTTTCTTCTGGATTTTCACACGTGACAAAATAAGAATGTACACGAAGTTAAACCTAACTCCTCTAGCTCCATCCCTTTACAATTTCCTTCTGACATGTTCTCGAAGGAAATACTCTATATCGATATTAAAAAAAAAAAGGGTTTTCTGTCATTATTTTAAATTTGATCGTTTCCCCTGGAATCCTCGCACCAGAAAAATTCATACTTGACATTCATGTTTTTTCCTTTAGAAAGTAAAAACTTTCACTCCAGAACTTCAATATTTAACAAACACGTGATGGACAAATCGTTCTGAGTTTTCATTTTTTATGAAAAAAAAAATCTTAATTCTCAGTTGGAAGTATTTTGTTAACTCGACCTCTGAGACTGTTGTTTATTACGATGCTCATAGTTAACGAGCCTCTGGCCAACAAGATACTTATCATTTTTGATGTGCTCGTACAATTTTCTAAACTGTCGAATATGAAAAGTTATTAATACACAAACCGATATGATAAGTAATAAAAATGGATAGAGTCGTCGTGCAATGAGTATTTGTGTCTGTAAATTCGTAACGAACAGTGGTATAATGCCATAAGCAATGGCATAAGGTATAGCAAGTGCAAGCCCAAAAACACAGATAACAGGTGCTGCTAATTCAGTGATGACAAATTTAAGATCCATCTCCCTGACACCGTCGTTATACGCTCGCTCAATAGCGATTCGGAGTTTCCATTCGGGTCCCATCATCGTAATGGCTGTTGCTATTTTCGTGTATAAAACGCCGAGTGCCCAATCCTGCCAGATGAATAGTATTGGATTTTGCTCGAGTGGAACACGAAGTGGTACCACCACAACTAGTTCGAGCAGAAGGCCAAATAACAGGGGAATAACACCAACTAGAAGAACAAAAGCTATTGATGCACGTACACTGACAATAGCCCAGTGTTTTATTCTGTCAATAATTGCACGGCGGCCACGGGGTAACCAGGAAAAGGCGAGGGCAAGGCCACGGGCAGCTGCCCAACAGACGTAGGTACCACAGGCTACTGTGTAAATTTCGTGAACACGTCCTGAGAAGACTACCATTGTATCGCCAACATCTGAACGAGAATCGATAATATTAGAGCGAGTGATTTCATCGACCTATTTGAATAGATTAAAAATATGCTGGATAGAATTCGATTGCGAGATTGTCGAGAATATTAAAATAGCTGTTCAATATTCATGGGAATATTTTTTACTTACTGTTGACTGGTACGACGGGTGGTAAAACCGGTGGTGATGGCGCAGGAGCTCCGACCATCCACAAAGCCATGACCCTTCTCCCCAACCAAACGGGTAATGTCATTGCAATGAGACTAGCAACAACAAGAGAGAGACAAACACAGAGCAAAAGCCCAACAAGTCTCGCTGGGAACCATCTGGATCTTGTATAGGGTTGGTATCCTGGTGGGCCACCTCTCTGTCTCATCTGAGCTGCTGCCTGATGGGCAGCTCCCAGATCGTGTTGCGGTTCTTCAATCACAGCGTTGTCCTGATCATCTCGTTGATCTCGTAGAAGATACGATTGGAGATCGAGCATCCACGCCACTGCCTGACACCAGCCACGAATGATGGCTTTCAACCATGTACGAGTGTGAGACTGCTCCAGTAATGCTGGCAGAATCACTTGGAGCAGGAGCAATTCCAACGATAGTTCACTCACCTAAAATTTAAGATGCATTTGTGGAATTACACATTATGCTTCTATAATGGGTATTCCTGTGGGTTATCGAAATCTCAGACCTCTGTATTGGACATTTTCATACAATCAAACTTCCAGTGAATGTAGAAAGGACAAAATATTAGAGAACATGGAAATTCATGAAATGCCCTCACACAATCTTTGAAAATCCCCAATGGAGGGTCTGTGACTTGGAAAATTCACAGGCAACTCACCTGAAAAAAAAATTTCGAATTCGGCGTAATTACCTGAGCCTCAGTCTGGACAGTAACAGTGTATGGTAGGAATCCAGGTAATGCCCACCTGAGAATTCTCACTGGTAGCCACAGCATAAGTAAAATTGCAGTACCAAAAATAACAGCGGAGGCAACGAGTCTCCTGGCGTGCCTCAAAATTGGAAGATGAATCATCTCTTGTATTGGTGAGAAATCAGGATCATTGAGATTCCTGAGGAACCAGAGAACGCCGGGTCTGAGGACCTCCCTCAGCAGCAAAATGAACGATGCGAAGTAGTAAATATAAACCATGCCCACCAACCAGTGAATGAACATACAGGTGCCAGGTGCAATTCTGAATGAGGATTCTCTGTCCTTCAAAGTGGCATCAAACATAGCCAATGAACATATGTCGAGCCACCAGCCACATACAAGTGGCAAAACTCCAATCTCCACGACAGATAGCAGTGACACCTTGACGACGACATAGCAGAGCCCCAAAATTCTCTGAGACCGTTGGAAGCCAAAGAGTGCAGCAAGGGTATGAAGAACCACTAAAGTCCCTCCAATGACTCCATACCCACATAACGTGGTGACAAGTCCCTCAAAGTGTGAAGCAGCAGCGTGTTCTTGTAATCCAAGTCCAATAATAGTAAAATGCCCTATATTGTATGGACAGAAAGCAAACACTAGAATGAACAGAGTATTCAGGGAAATCACCCAGAAAACATGTTCGAGGAAGAGTAGAGATCCATCAAGTCCCAGGAGTCTCTCCCACGTGAGCTCCTCAGCAGGTCTATCCCACTCCATGGGATTCCAGTTAGCTTCTTCAGCTTCTCCACCGGCTTGAGCTTGATCCTGAACTTGAGCTCTCCAGCCCTCCGCAGGCTCCTCCTGAGCAGCTGGCACCTCTCCCTGGGCCGCATCCTCGTTGTTGTTGACAAGGCCAGGATGTTCAGGGTTGTTCTCAGCAATCTCTCGATACAGAGGATGTTGCTCCTCATTATTCTGCCGCGGTGGCTCGTCTACAAATGGGGGAATATTGTTGTTTTCTCTCACATTAGCCCCAGCGAAATGCTGGGGTTCCTCCAACAGTTGGGCCTCCTCGACCTGAGGTGCCTCAGCATGATTGACGTCAGGTGGCATGAGTGGAGCGTCCCTCTCCAGCCAGTCTGGACCACCTGCATGGAGAATTTGCTCTCTCAACCAGACCAGACCGATGAAGGCGAATAGAGTACACGTCACAACGAAACAACCGTGGAAAACGTCTGAGGAGATGTTGTCTGTTGATATCATGTCCATTGGAAGGGACATTATTCGAACGAGGTCGAGAGATCCACTGAAGAGTGCTCGATACGTTCGACAGGCTGTCAAAGGCACAACACCCAACCAGGCTAAGGCCACCAGGGTGTAGTGTAACCAATACTTCACTGCTGTTACGATACTGGAGACAAGACCACCCACTACGTCCCTAATTGGAAGACGACGGGGCATGTCTGGACTGTAGATTGGAGTGAAGGAAAATCTGTGACCACAAAGCTCGCAGTATTCCTTCCGGGAGTATCTCATCCACTGGACGAGACACTCCTGGTGAATCCATTTTATGCTCCCTGTGCATATGCAGGGGTGAAAAAGGGGACGGTCTGCTAGACCTTCCGATCTACACACCCTGCAGATATCTGCTAACATGTCCTCCGTCATGTTCACAGGCTCGAACTTTTCTTTTCGATTAAATCCTTCAGCTTATTCCTCCTCAACGCTGCAAACGTTAACATAATGTGGAGAAATTGGTCAATCCTTGTTTCATTAGTTTTTCACTTCTTGGCAATTTTATTCCCGGTAAGACGTCTACTGTTTAATTATCCATTATTGAGAGTATTTAAGAAAAGTTTTCATCGTCAATACAGTGGAACTTAGTGTCTCCAGAAATGGTGATTCGATTCGATTCAAGGACAGTTGGTAATTATAATAATTATAGTTGTGATGGTCGATCGAGGAAAATGCGCAGAATTTGTAGGAGAATTGATAAGTTTGGTGGAGAATAATCAAGCAGTTAAAGTAATTAAATACCCATGTGAACTTTCACATCATCAACATCGGACATCAGAATTGTAAATTGAGAGACATTAACTAGGTTATACTTGTGAGGAAAACATTACCTTTTAGCAAAATCTACTTTCCTTTTATTGTGGAAAAAATGTGAGTTAATGAGTTTGATATGTGAAGCGTTTTACCACAGGAATTATTATTCCAATTATTTTTAGAATTCGTGTACTTACCGAGAAGTGTGAGCGTAAAAATACGTGAAATCGAAAACTGAAAATTATCCCAAAAATATTGAGTTTGCTTTTTCTTTCCAGGTGTTTCTGTGGTACTTATAGGGGGCATATCCACAAATTTGACAATTACTCGGTAAAAATCCCTAGAAAATGGTTACTTTCAATGGTTCGTGGTGGCAGTATGACTTACATTTTTTCAGGAGATATGTATATCCCCGTCCTCTCTGCCGTGGGGTTGGTACTAAATTCCTTGACACTCCATTCCAGGCCTCTACACAGGTATATCCTCAGTGCATGATTCAGTCATTCGAAAACGTGTTCATCCTCTGGAAGTCAAAATGAGGATCATCGACTTAAACTCATTGAAAAAGATATAAAATTTCGTTGTTTCAATTAAATTATCGATTTTATAAGGAAAATAAAATTCTATGAATTAAGTCATCGTCCAAAGTGGTGTATTCTGTATTTTCTATCATAATAATCGATTAAAATCATTTAAAGGTTAGAAACAAATTGTCATCACCTGATTAGAAACAAACGAAAAAACTAAACTGACCAGTGACATAAGATGAATATGTTTCCTTCAAAAAGCGTTAATCAATAAACTGATTGATAATTCACCGTAATAATGGCGAGAAGTTCTAGTAATGACGATGTTATGACCATTGAACCGAAAAGCGAGAAGAAATTGAAGAAGAAGGTGATATCAGTGACTGATGAGAATGAAGGAGCAACATTTAGTAAACCAGAGGGGAACGCAAAGAAATCGAAGAGAAAAAGAACAGAAATAGTCGAAGCTCCAGAGGAGGACCCACCTAAGAAGCCGAAGAAGGCAAAAAAGTTTGTATCATTTTAATAACAAAGCGTTAGCACCGTCTTATTTATAAGATAGTAGCTTGGACAATTTATTTTACTCCATGAATTTTTAGAAAAAAAGATGACACTGACAAAGCAAATGAAGAACCCGAGGGGGATGTGCCTAATAAGCCTAAGAAACCCTCAAATAGGCAACTAAAAAGAGAGAAGAAAGAGGCTATAGAAGCAGAAAAAAGGGATGCTAGTAAAGTTGAAGCTATGAACAAAGCCCTTCAGTATATTTCGACGGTAAAAAATTCAGTAATTATTAATTATTGAGTGGAGAATTGAAAAAGAAAGAGAATTAGTTTTTCATCTGTTTAAATTCAAATTTGGTTGTTTGAAAAATATCCTCTAAATAATTCGCTCTGAATTACTGTTGTAATAATAAATTTATTCATTACAGTGGAAACATGCAAAGAGTCAATGGAAATTCGAGAAACTCAAGCAAATCTGGCTGATGGATAATTTACTAGATGACTCATTAGTCCCGGAGACGATGTTCCCAACTGTCCTAGAATACTTTGAAGGCTGCAAGGGAATGGCTAGAGAGTTACTCTTGAAGAAGGGTATGGACGTCATAAAGAAATATGAAACGCAGCAAAACTCTTCTGAAGAAGTTGTAGAGACTGTGGAGTATACGAGAGCCAGACAATTGCTCCAAGCTTTACCAACAGAAACGTGAATAATCTCGAATTGATATATATTATTTAATAAAAATTTTCCACCTTATATTTTTCAAATCTGTTGTGTATAATCAACGCTCACCAATTATTCATTAAAATAATTTATAGCGAGAAAAATTCTGTATATAGACTATGCGAATGGTTCTGTACAACGAAATAAATTTCTGTTTAATCAATTGCTTTGCCTATTTGAAATACACTAAAATAGGGGAAATTCAATAATTAAGACTCGGCATATTTATCAACGAATTTCCGCAGCTTGTCGGTGTCCTGGAGTCCTACCATACGCTCGAGAACTTTTCCATCTTTCATTGCAATCAGAACGGGTACTGACTCCACCTAAAAACCAACAATTACGACACGATAATTGATCAGAAATAACGTTTACATGTTTTATACTTTATATGCGCATTCTTCATCCGAAAGGTACCTGATAATCTAGTGCAAGATCGGTGTTCTCGTCAATGTCAACTTTAGCCAACAGAATTTTCCCCTGCTTCTCCTCAATGACCGACTCCAACCGTGGAGTCAACATACGACAAGGATTGCACCACCTAAAAAATACGATATATAATCATGACTGTAATAATTCATCTCTAAAAATAATGAATTCATTTCACAACGCCTTACGTAGCAAAAAAGTCGATGATGACCGGCACCTTGGAGTTTTTAACCCTGTTATTGAAGTCTTCATTGTCCTGAACTTTGAATGCCGGAGAGGCAGCAGCACTGGCGAAACTCCTGGTCTTCAGACCTGCACGAATTACTTTCACCCCGACACGTAGCATAATGCGACAATAACTCTACAATGTTCCTATTGATATTAGAAAAAAAATATTACAATATTTCTCTCGACACCAACGAAAAAACCTATAGCTATTTAAACTTCTTGAAGTCACGAACGACGCAAAACAGGAATAATTGTGGCAAAGAGGATTGACTGAAGTAGAGGCTCAGTTCTGGGGGTTTGAATGACCCCAGCGGCATCGTAGTGCTGCATCCCAAGAGAGGGAGGGCACCACACGCAATGCTGGGGTGTAAGGTATGATACAGGGAGGTATTGCCAAGCTTTGATGTCGCCGACACCAAAACAGGGGACAAGTACCTTCAGACGTCGTACGTAGCGCTGTATAACACCTTCTCCTCATGTGCGTTTCGTCCCCACCATTCAGCGATTTCTGGCGTTTACATTTGAATGCCAGTCGAGTCGTTTGATTTTTTTTCTTTCAAATTGACATGAAAAAAAAGCTATGGCATAAAAATTCTCTACAAAAGTATAAATGAACAATGGGTATATGATTATTTCAATACGAGAGATTCTTCCCCAGTATTGACTATTTTTTCATAAATCAAGTAATTAAAGTGAAACTCTTTCCACGTCACCCAAGAGGTAGAGTCCTTGACGCGTTTTTTTTTAACGTGGTATCCCCTATAGGCCTAATCCACTAAGTCAATGGATGAGAAATTGAAAAGGAAAAAAAAATGATTTGAGAACCTGAAATCAAAAAAGAACCATGACATTTATTAATAATAAATAATAATGAATTAATAATCAATTCATCAATTTCTATGGATATTCTAGCTCCATTGTCGATGTTGAATCATCTCAGCAACACTGATTTGGGAGAAATATTGAACGATGATGGAAGATTCGAGGAAGTTGTCAATGACATAAAACAGGTGAATTATTTAATCGATGACAATAAATGGATAATAAGGCGGTTGTCTCATTATTATCTTGTCTTATTATTAGATATGCGACTTACTTACTTTTCGTGAGGTTTTCTAATTTAAAGAATTGGAATCTGAAAAGGAAGTTCTGATCGCTGGAAATCGTTCTCTGGCCGAAGTCAATCTAGCAAAGCAACCCCAACTCGAGGAGAATAAAAAATCATTACATGAACTGTCTGAGACAGGCTGTGAGCTG